TCCTTATACACAGAATTATATAATTTAATGGTGTATTGTAATTTTTTGAAAGAATTATATAATCTGAGGATAAATACTATACTGCGTATAAGGATATTTATCCTTATACATAGAATTATATAATTTAATGGTGTATTGTAATTTTTTTTTTAATTACACTTGTTTTTAATTATACATTAAAGAAAATAAATTTAAGAAATCTGATTAAACAGATTGAAATTATGTTAAAGAAGATTGAAATTGCATCACTTAAGAATGATTAAACGGCTTTTGAATATGTGAATACGTTTACGCAACGAAAGTGGGTAGAATTGAGAAATGTAAAATATTTTTCGCATTCTTATGCAAAAATTGGCATCGATAATCAAGTTATTTGTAACTTTAACTCGAATCTCTTGGAACGCATCTTCTTTCTTTTATTTATTTATTTATTATTTTTTTATTTTTTTATTTATTTATTAACGGCTACAGTAATTGTAAATAGTTTGACGAAGCATAGAATCATCGCAACTAATCAATTTAATTAAACGAATTTTTTAACAAAGTAAAAGATAAATTATTTATTTGAAAGAACGAACGTTTTCTTCTGCTTCTAAACATAGAAACCCAACTGTAGTTTGTTCATCGCGATACATTACTCTTTCGATACCTTCTTTTTATGTCGAGCTAATTGCAACAGTAAAATAAAAACCACAATAACATGGTATTAGCTTGCAATGAATACGTAAACATCCGATGAATTGCAACTCTAACTATGCTTTCTCAGAGACGCAAAAGAACTAGTTTTACATTTAATGTAAATCTTCAACATTATTTAAACATCTTGATCTTTAACATCGATTACTCTACTTAATTTTATTTTTCTTTTATTTTCTATTCGTTCTGGTATTTATTAACATTTCGAAAGTTCTGAACAGTTTGAACTTTTTCAATCGAGGACTTTCTAAATTTTCAAACGTTGAATTCTCAAGGCTACAGATTTCCCAAATTTCTGAATTTCGTGTCTTCAAGTTCCCGAAATTTTTAACCTCTAGGTCCTCGAATTCTTAACTGAATCCTGAGATTTTTCAAATCGTGGATTTTCCAAATTTTCGCATCTTCGAAACTCCCAGATTTTTTTGATTTTCAAAATCTCGTGATCTCTAATGTCCAAATCCCGTCGATTCTCAATGTTCTCAACCATCGTATCTCTCCAAAATTTCGAAATCATTCGGATCTCCGAATCCTTAAACATCTTTAAATCTTTAAATCTTCCAAATGCTCACGTGGCGTCGAATTTCCGAATATTCTGCACATTGGGATTCCACAACGAGAAGATTTTCGCAACGTATTACGAGCTAATCACTCCGACGATCCTGGTAGCCGTGATATCAATTCGTTTCGCTTTCGCTGTATGTACGATTCCCAAGCAGATAATGATCACGTTCAAAGCATATACCTCGAATAGGCAACACCTGTTCGACACTTCACCAACGTAGATCCATTCACCAACGTCCATGGCCTATCGGAGAGAACCCGTGTTTCGAAACCACGATCGAGGCAAAATAAAAAATAGAAAAAACGAGTAAGAACAAGCAAATCACGTTACAGCGCGGCTAAAACGCGTGCACGCGTTTAATCAATCAATTGCCAGCGTGCAAATGATTCCGACGTGCGCAAAAGTCTGTTGTAATCGTTCTCCTCTGTTCCCTGCCAGTAAATTCTGCTGGAAGAAATTCTGCTGCAGCCGGGAGTAACACATCAGTCCGACGTCGAAAGAATTATTCCAATTGAACGCATCAACTCCCTGCTTCGTTTCATCTAATAAAGTTCGTTTCAGCCCGGGACGACTGACAATTAATCGCTCGGACGAAGATTTTCTGGCATCGTCCATCGAAGCGGGACTTAGGCGGCAACTCGTGCTCCTTTTTTCTCTCCGTTTCTTTCTTTCTGTTCAACGCACACGGCTTGTCCAGGCTGTCCCTCGCAATGAATCATTGCGGAGCAGTTTACCAGAGTCAGTTTATCCCGCGGTGAACCGGCAAACGACGCAAGGAGAGGAGACGAGGATTAGTTTGAGTCGGTTTAGTGTCAACTTAAATGAATAGGTTTGAAATTGCTTAATTGGGATGTCGAATGTTTGATAGGCGAGAGAGTGGTTTTGTTTTCTTTTTTTTTCTTTTTTCTGTTTTGTGGAATATTTGTTTATTTATTTAGTCTTTCTTTCCGTTTGCTTTTTCAACCTTCAAATCTCTAAATCTTCGAGATTTCGAATTTTCAATTTTGTTTTGCTGTCAGACTGTCCATATTTTTAAACTAGAGAATCCTCGAAATTTTAAACCTTCGAATTCTCAGTTTTGTGTCTCCACAGTTCTAAAGTCTCAAGTTTCCAAATNTGAATCCAAGTTTTCCAAAAGTTCAGACTGTCCATATTTTTAAACTAGGGAATCCTCGAAATTTTAAACCTTCGAATTCTCAGTTTTGTGTCTCCACAGTTCTAAAGTCTCAAGTTTCCAAGTCTGAATCCAAATTTTCCAAAAGTTCAGACTGTCCATATTTTTAAACTAGAGAATCCTCGAAATTTTAAACCTTCGAATTCTCAGTTTTGTGTCTCCACAGTTCTAAAGTCTCAAGTTTCCAAATATGAATCCAAGTTTTCCAAAAGTTCAGACTGTCCATATTTTTAAACTAGGGAATCCTCGAAATTTTAAACCTTCAAATTCTCAGTTTTGTGTCTCCACAGTTCTAAAGTCTCAAGTTTCCAAATCTGAATCCAAGTTTCCCAAAAGTTAGAAATTTTCCAGCTTATTAACTCTCGAGTTCGCGGATCGTCAAAGATCTTCCATTTCCTTCAAACGTTCCGAGCCTTCGAACTTTCGAATCTCTACATCTCCGAACCTCGAAACATTCGAAACATTTCAAACTTCTCAAGTCCTCCAACTTTCGACTTCAAACGTTTTAAATCCTTCAACTTTCGAACATACATCAAATCTCCAAATCTCCCTTTCACTTCTCAAATTGCCATCCCTCGGCAACTTCTAAGCGCCGAGCCTCCTGGATCGTGAGCTATTCGAAAAATTCGAAATCTACGACCTACGATCAACGATCAATGTCCCGTAGACAAACGACGCGCGTAACAATGGTGAAAGTAGCGTAACAGAAGTTACGAAGTACGAGCTCACACGCGGCACCGACATCGTATCAGAGTTATTTGCTCGCGTGTCAACCGGAACACGAAGAGGAGAGAAAAAAAAAAAAGGAGAGGTAGTGGAACGTCGAGTAAGTAGCGCGTGATTAAAAAATCAACGAAACGGACGATAAGGTTGACGCGTTTTATCAACCGTCCCACGGATTTCGTTCTCCACTGGAGGAGATTGGACGATGCACGAAGAAGATTCGAGACACGATACTAATTAAGGGTCCACAATGTCTCGCATTGTTTATGCACGGTTGTATCCTCGTCGTTTTGCTCGTGTCTCGTCTCGTCTCCTGGTACTCTTCTTTCGCATCGAGCCTCGCCCTTTCCTTCCCTCGTCGAGAATTAAATCGAAGAAAAAAGAAAAGAAATTATAATTGAACATATTAAATTTCTTAAAATAATAAAATCAAATAAATAAATTATTATTATTAAATAAATTAGACAAATTAATTCGATCATAAAACATTAAATTTAAAAATTTTATTTTTCGATGACCAAATTCATAATTTATACTATATTATAATTAATAACAATAATCCTGAAACTCTTTCACATACTGTAAATATTAAAAAATATAAAAAATAATCATAATCTATATGTATACATAATTATATATAAAATAAAAATTATATGTAAGAATTCTAATTAAAAACTAAACTAATAACTTAAATAATAACTAAAAATTAAAAGCTAAAATTATAAACTAATTAATTAATTATTAACTAACCTAATTAATAAATTATTAACTAAAACTTAAAAACTAAAATTATAATTAAAAATAATAACTTTTAATTAACATAATCAAAAAAAAAGATAAAATAAAATGAAATAAATTCTTTAATTTACAATCGGTGTGCTCGCCTTTGGGAAACTCGCCATTATTTCGGCATTGCTCAACGATCGAAATATTGCTGCTTTTGTTGTAGCTGGGAAAATGTGAAATTCATTTAATTGTAATTTACTCTTCAGCAATGCTAATGTATCGGTGATTCGTGAGTTATAGTTCTTTTTTTCTTCTCTGAGTTCTAGAAGTTGATGTCGGGAATTTCGGAACTTAATTTAATTAAAAAAATTAAATTTAAGTTAATTTGAATACTTGGGGGAGTCAGAGTTTAAACTTTTGAATGTAGGATAATTGCAGTCTGTTTGAATTTATTTTTAAAATTCTTCTTACTTCTAAAGTTTCACTAATAATGTTACTGTCATTCGTATTCGTTAATAATGTTACTAAACATGTTTCCAGTGAATTAATACGTTTGTAAAATAAGAAGGAAAAAAACACCAGACGCTTGAATAACTGGGAATTAATTGTAAAATAAGAAAAAAGAAACACCAGATGCTTGAATAACTAAAATGAATAAATAAAAATTGATGCTGGGAATGTCTCGAGAAAGTGGTTTTCGAAATTCTCGCGATTTATATTGATTTATCATTGGCTAAACAGACAGTTCTTGACTAGCAATTTATAAACTGTTATCGCGTTTAGAAAGTTGAGAGAAGCGACGAGGAACAGGGATTTGCATGATGCACAGTCTTAATATACTGACGATCGTCGAACGTCATCGTAACGAGGCCATAAATCAGAAATCTTTCGATTTTTCTTTCCCCCGTTTTTGGTTAATTATTCGACGCGCTTGCACATCGTTCCTTTTGATCTCTTTGACACCAATGAATAAATTAAACGAAGAAGAATACGCAGAATTTAATGCGACAACTTCGTTTGTTTATTTATTCTCAGAATAGATTGCTTAATTTATATAATAAATGATAGAATGTTACAATCCCGATGTGTTTAATAAAAAATGTCACTTTTTTTTCACAGGTCTCGCGAATCTACAAAGATCAATCAATCGGAAATCCCATAAGCATTTCGGTGATGAATATCGTGCCGATAGACAAGATATTTGGTGTTAGACGCACCAGGAGCGAAGGAATCGCTGCAGCTGACATGTTGAACAAGTTCTGTCGATGGCAACAAAACAACAATCCCAGCGAATCATCGCCAGGACATTATGATACTGCTCTTCTTTTAACCAGGTATTTGTTACAACTGTAATTTCTTTCAAATCTGAGAAATGATATGATTAAAAAATATTTCATTAGCTTCATCAGGATAGCCAGATATCTCTACTGTTAGAGTTATTATGTAGCTACATTGTAAATCGTCAATCGTGATTTTCTAATGTAGAAGAAAAATGAAATTTCAACTTTGATTTCTTTTCGTTACCTTCGTCGCCTTTACGATTCTCATAATCGTGAAGTTTGAAAAAAGCAAAGTCGCGAAAAGTAATTTCGAACAATACCAAATGAAACGAAACTTTTACAGGGAAAATCTGTGTCACAGTTCCGACGAAACGAGCTGCGACACGTTGGGCCTGGCTGAGCTGGGACGAATGTGTATGCCAGGATCCTCTTGTGCCATTGTTCAAGACAATGGTCTGGCTGCTGCATTCACAATCGCTCATGAGATTGGTCATGTGTGAGTAAAATTATTCCAAACATATCGAGTCTTTATCGACATATAAGTGATAATTCCCAATTATCGTCAATTTTTTCTCACTGTTAAACCAATTACTCTTAAATCCACGCGTTTAATTTCTAAATGAAATACATACAAGAAGTTTAGATATAAGTAATATTTAGATAACAGTATTGAATTAAAAAAAAATTTTTTTTTCTGTGATTTATTACGTTGCTCCCTTATAATTTATTTTCTATTATTTATTACTATTATATTTATTCTATATTCTCTATTTATATTATATTTATTCTATATTCTGTATTATATTTATGTTATATAAATTGTATTGTACATTATATTATATCGTATTCTATATATATATATATATATATATATATATATATATTTTATTATAAAGAGAATATTTAAACAACTGCACCGAATAAAACACCCAATCTGAATTTTAGGCTGAGCATGCCCCACGACGACGACGTAAAGTGTTCAGCTTTCAGAAATCGTTCTGGTGTGCACAACATAATGTCAAGAATGCTGGATGACAATACCTTCCCGTGGGAATGGTCAAAATGTTCCCGACACTACGTCACCGAGTTCCTTGAGTGAGTCATTACCTTAATGAACCACTAAACTTGGTTCCCAAAAGTGTGACACCGACAGATTGGCCCTTGAATATCTCTTAGGTCATCATTAGTCTCATTGGATTTACTTTTTCTAAAAAGCATATGTCTTTGGCTGACACACAGGAATATTCGACCAAGAAGATTTGACATATTTTGCAATAAAAATTCAAGCTGGACAATTTTCTTAATGAGATTTAAATCAAAAGTTTTATATATATAATTATTAATTCGTTATCTTCTTACTTGTTGCTACAAATAATTTTCAATGAAGGTTTATAAAGATTACTCTAAAGATTTGGAGTATTAATTATTATATTGTAATTTTAAACAATGATACTGTTGAATTATCAGATAACAAGTTGTGCATGACACAGATTTCACTCTAAAGTAAAGAATTTATAAAGTTTGCTTCTAATATTTCATTCATTTTCTAAACAAAATTATTTCGATTATCCAAGGTGTTTTATTGATGTTAATATTAATAATTTCTGACTTGTGAGTGATAAAACTTATGAATAACCAACGACCATCAATAGTCCTGAATAAAAAAATCTCTCTATCCAAAAATCAACAAATCAATAAAAAACTTTCAACTGAAAGATAACTTCTTCAAAGATTTTCACGCGCCACTGTATCTTCTTCATCGTTGAAATCATTTGCACCGCATCTAAATCTTCAAAAACACTTCACGTTTGTTTAAATGAAACCTCCGAAATATCAGATCGACTAATCAAAGGGTTTCCCATTGCCACGAGGCACAAAATACCGCGTTGTCGGCGTTTGAAGTATTTTTGCTTGAAACCGAGCTAAAGCTCTCTTTCTCATTCTCTCTCTAGCCGAATTTGCGCCCAACATTCCCGTTGGAAACAGTTCTAAATCCGAATCGATCAGGTCAAGAGCCGGTGCCGCGAGTTTTTCTGCGAACAGCCTGAAGAAGACGGCTCCTCGCCTTAGGAATCCGGTTTCGCTGCATTTCTGAACGTCTCGGTGCGCAACACCGAGCGCGTCTCCTTCGTTTCCGACAAAAATTCGGCCCGCGAATGATGCACGAGGATCCTCCTCTTACGCAAGCCTCTGTCAAACTTGGTTCAATGTTGTTTCAAGGGCCGGAAACGGAAACTGTCTGCTGGACAGGCCGGATAACATAATGCTGCGAGATGACCCGAGCAGACTTCCCGGCGAGGATTACACGGTGAACAAGCAGTGCGAGCTGGTATTTGGCAACGGGTCCAGGATCTGCTCTCACATGGTGGGTGATGGTAAGTCACACATTTTTGTATGTATATATTATTTAATATCACCGGCGAAATTAATCAAGTGTAGACAGATAATTGAAGCTCTTTCAAAAGTTAATAAGTGTAACAACTGTGTTGGAAATAGCGGAGAAATTCGACAATGTAAGCACCGGTGAAATCGATGAACTGGGCTGAAAGAACGAAATGAACGCGTGATTGACTGAAAATGATTCTATTGTTTAAGGATGCTTATAGTTGCTCAATGATAATGATTAAACGGTTTTTGAACATGTAGATACGTTTTATGCAACATCGTGTTGCTTGAAACAATAACGCAGCAAACGTACTGCTTAAGAATTGAGATAAACTGAGCGGTTGGTTGGTTATCGGCCAGGCAGTGTGCAGGAGACTGTGGTGCACCACACCGAACGGAGACCATTACGATCAGTGTCGTACCCAGCACATGCCGTGGGCTGATGGAACCGCATGCGACCGAGACAAATGGTGTCATCGAGGCGAATGCGTCTCCCGTAGAAATCTCAAGCCAGTGGATGGCCAATGGGGCGAGTGGGGACAATATGGGAAGTGTTCAAGAACCTGCGGCGGTGGTATCAAGAAAAGGTTCCGCGAATGCAATAACCCACCTCCGCAGAACAACGGCCGTTACTGTATCGGTGATCGAGTCAAATATCGCAGCTGTGGCACCAAGGAATGTCCGCCGGGAAGCCCTGATTTCAGGTAGTTGTTGTTCGAGTTGAATTGCTTGAATTCAAATCAGTCTCGAAACGGTTATTTATGAATACATTATACAACGTCGAAGTTGTACATGATTGTACATGAATTTGAAAATTTTATTAAAATTGTAATGAAACCTGATTGGTCTTATCCTGTTTTCCTGCTTTTTCTATAATTAATTTCTTTCTAATTCCTATCCCTTTATCTAATCCGCCATATTCTAATCGGCATATTCTCCACAGGGAACTACAGTGCTCGCACTTCGACAACAACAACATGAGAATACCGAACCTGACAGAGGATGTTAAATGGCACGCCAAATATTCGCGAAGTAAGTGCAGAAACTAAAAGAATATCCGTGCAAATTTATATTTTTTGGCCATTTAGAGACCAATAGAACATGTGAAAGTAGTAGTAGTTTCTCTTCAAAATTTCACGGCTATACAAAATCTGAAGATCTGTGCAGAAAACCAAAGGGGACTTTACCAATCCTCTAAGGGTGAACTATGAATTAGTGATAGATTTAAACGTGAGATACCGCTTGGTCCACGCTTGTCCATCCATCAACCTCGACGCATCACGATTTTCTGTTCATTCCTCCTGTTTCAGTATCGCCTCAGGACCGTTGTAAATTGTACTGCCAAGTGGAAAGCAATCAGTATTACATGCTGGCGGAAAAAGTGGTCGACGGAACACCATGCGGCCGTGATACCTTTCACATATGCGTGAACGGCCACTGTAAACCAGCGGGATGCGATCACGTTTTAAACTCGACGGTGGAACTCGATATCTGCGGCGTATGCGGGGGCGACAATTCCACCTGCCAGTGGATCACCGGCTCTTACAACTCCACCCAGTACGGCTATACCAGAGTCGCCAAGATCCCAGCGGGTAGCAACAACATTGACATCAGGCAGCACGCTTGGAAGGACATGGTAGACGACAGCAATTACCTCGGTACTTGATTCCTACATTCCTTTCAGTTTTCCAATGAACGCGATCCTCTCTGCTTCGGGAGAAGCCTTTAAGCTCGTTGGATCAAAGTTAAAAAAAAAATTACTTATCACTTCTTGTGAAAATTGTCTAAGATAATTGGATGATGGTTTTGTTTTGTTGTGTTTGCTAAGACATCTTTACATCTTTCTTATATTTATAGAGTGGTTTATTATATACGCCATGACGAAGTAAACGAGTTCTTTTCAAATTGGCAAATCTGTCCGATTCGCTGTGAGAATTTTTGTTTCTCCGGAATGCTTGATAAAAATATAAGATTGTAAAACAATTTTCACATATTATAAGTATACATAACAAAATAATTGATTTCCTTGTACAGTCAGAATGTCTTGACAAACATTGAAATAAACACCTAATTATCTTCTACAGTCTTTGGAATCATTTTGTGATTGTTTTGGAGAATTTCTGATCTTTATTGTTCATCGTTGAATTGTAACATTGATTTATTTCAGCTTTACGACTTGGTGAAAACGGGAAATACATACTAAATGGGAACTTCAGGGTGATGACCCAAAGGGTGATCGTCGAAAATGGCGTCACTATCGAGTACAGTGGACCTGAATCAGTTGTGGAACGTCTGAATACCTCCAGACCAATTGAAACTGACTTAATTCTGGAGGTAAATATATCGTTGAACACTTTCAATGATATATTTATAAATAACTAAATATATTAACAATTGTGTGTCATTGCTGATAATAATTAATTATTTACTTAATTATTTAAATAAATAATTAATCGTTATTATTAATTAATCGATTGATAATATAATGTTAACTTAATTGTATTTATTTACATAACGTGATCTTTCAGGTACTGTCAGTAACGGAATCAAATCCGCCTCAAATCAGTTATGAATACACAGTACCAAGAGACATTTTAGAGAGCTACAAATGGAAATTAAGTAATTGGTCGAACTGCAGCCTCATCTGTCAAGGTATGAAGTATCGTAAGGCTGAGTGTAGAAGTATCGAGTACGAAGAGGTCGTCGCCGATGATTATTGTCGCGAGTCGGAAAGGCCGCGGGAAGAGAGTCAAATGTGCAATAATTATTGTATATTAGAGTAAGTAATCGCATGATTTTCATTTTTATTTTATTTAATGTAGATATTATTAAATATTAAAATTTAGAAAGAAGAGATCGCAAAAGTCAAGATTAATTATTGCACTGAATATTCATATTCTATTTTTTAAACAGCGAATAGAGATTAGGAGATAAATTTGTTAAATGTTAAAATTAATCTACTCTTATTTTAGATTAATCTATTTTCTTTAATTAATCTATCACTATCTACTCATCACCAAAAATCTATACGAATAAGAAGAATCTCATTTTGGTTGAACAATTCCAGATGGAATATCACTGAAATCTCTGAATGCTCGAACCACTGTGGTCCAGGAACTCGCATGGTCACTTCTAGATGTATACAAAGGCTATTGAACTCGAATCATCCACCTCGTCCAATTCCAGCGCAACTGTGCGCTCATCTTGAACGACCAAACGATACGATACCTTGCATCGGCCCGTGTGAGGATGCCCACTGGCATTATGGAAAATGGAGCGCTTGCAACACCACATGCAGAGGTGGAATTCAATATAGGACAGCTATCTGCGTAGACTCGAATCGGAGACAGATTTCTGAAGAGAATTGTATGGGACAGAAGAAAGATTTGGAAAGGACATGTGGAAACGAAGAATGTCCCAAATGGGAATTCAAGAACTGGAGTCATGTAATTATTCATCTGAATTCTCTTGACTTATTTAATGTCTAATCTGTTTATTGATAGATAAAAAATTTGATAGATAAAAAATTGACTAAATAGAAAATGTGACTGAAAAAAATATTAAACAAATTCTTGGTACACCGTTTTGTAAACACAATGTTGAATTGATACAACATTGATCCTGTATGGATCAAACGATTTCGCAGTTAAGTTACTTTGTTGTTTTTTTTTCTCTTTTTACAATAGTGCTCGGTAACATGTGGTATAGGGAAGAGACACAGACGTTTTGTGTGTCAGATACAGAACCGCGTTGTTTTAAACAGTTACTGCGGTGATACCCCTCCTGTTGATACTGAGGTTTGCAATCCCGGCCCTTGTGAACAGTGGCACACTGGTGATTGGAGCCCGGTACGTAATCTAAATCGAAAACAATTAAATTAAAATTAAATTTAAAAAACCTGGAAATTTACATTAATATAATATTAATATAATTAATATAATTAAGACAAATGCTTGAAAATTTTTCTTTGTTCAGTGTTCAGTTACATGTGGTGAAGGCACAAAGCGAAGAAAAGTTATATGCAAAGCGGTTGATGGAATAATCAGTGACAAATGTTCCTCGTCCAATAAACCAGACAATACTACTGTCTGTGAGCTAAAGCCTTGTCCAGTGGTACATTTGATCTTCTATTAATTTTTCATTCTTATTCTTTCTTATTATTCATTATTTCATTTGTAAAATTATGTTTTATGCAGATAAACAAAACGCCAATCAAATATTCCTCTGATCCACCATATGAAATTCCTTCTCAGCAAGATAATGAAATTCATGACATAATCTTCCGTTATGGATATAAATGGCATGTTCAAACACAGGAAATGGTATTCATGCAATTATGATATCTTTATTCAATTTTAGATAATTACCACAGTTATGTGGCAAATGAGTTTTTACTTGTATTTGCTCGTATTTTAGTGCTCCAGACCATGCATCAAAGGTTATAGGAACGTAAGGGTAAAATGTGTTTCCATTGAAACAGGAATCATTGCACCTGATAATTACTGTGATAATGAGAAGAAACCACATACTGAGATTCCTTGTAATCATTATCGCTGCCCAAGGTGGATTTATAGTGAATGGACCCAGGTTAGTCCAAAAGTAATTCACATAAAATGACAACGATATAAATAGATATTCCATCATTTTATTTCTGATATTTATTTTTATTAGAAATTATACAATTATATAAATTAATAATTAAACTGCCTAAAAGAAATGTTAATGTTAAATTTAATTTACTTATAGAAAGGTAAATTATAAATTGATTACATTTTCTTTCTCTGATTAGAAAGATACAAAATAATAATTATAGTAAATAAATTGTTTGACATCGATGTAACAATGATGATAAAATATAACGGTATAACAAAGAAAATACGATCTTGTTGATAGTAATTATTAATTTATGAATTCAGTGCAACGTAGAATGCGGACTAGGACACCAATATCGACAAGTACGCTGTCAAAGTCCACGTGGTGAAATTTTACCAGACGAGAATTGCCATGACATGGAAAAATCGGAAATAGTGAAAACATGCCGGAAGAAGCCGTGTAATATTCCCACAGACCGAAAGAATCGAATGGAAACAAATATTCTGCGCAGATGGAAACCTTCAGACTGGAGTACCGTGAGTATTGTCTTCTTTTCTTTTGTATTTTGTATTTTCTTCGATGTCGCTTCTTTTTTGAAATCCTTGCAAAATAAAAATACACAGGCCTATAATATTTCACTTATAATCTTGATCTTACTTGGTGTCTAATGCTATTTTTACACGAAAATATTATTTATAATAAAAAGAGAGTCTTTTTAATTGTTACATAAATCACAAATCGGTTATACAAGGAAGGTAAAGTAATTAAATGTCGTTTGTCGATGTTGTGACCCTTCAATTTCATCGTTATTTATTAAATTTAAACTGTTCACGTTTTGCACTACTATAGTATGCGAATCACTAATACAATACGCAATATCAGAACCAAAAACACTGAAAGGACATTAAATAAAAGAGACAAACCTTATATCGTTTAATATCATTTATCTAACTTTTAACATATCCTAGAATAATTACACTTAATAAGAGAAGAACATCAGTCATTAATAAACCATGATGTCTGTTATAAAAAAACATGACACAACAAAAGTATTAATAATCCTCGAATACTGGCGTTATGAAACTTAGTAATACAAATTTGAAAAATAATGTCGAATTGGCTTCTCGTTTTCGAAATCTCTCCCGTTTCATTACTCTTAATAAGTCTCAATTAAAATAGAACTTATCGAACTAGCCAAGGAATAAGTTCCAATTGTTATTTCGCAATTTTGTTATGAACTCTCGACTCTTTTGCATTAGTATTCGTACACGTACAAGTTTCAATTTGAATAGAAAAACACCATGCTTGTCGAAATAAACGTCGAAAGTGTAAGCGTCAAGAGCCGAAAGGAGTTGTTAAGAAGTTTCCGTCGCATCGTTTGGATCGAACGAAAATGTTTTGCAGTGTTCGAAATCGTGTGGTACCGGACATCAAAGGCGAAAAGTGGAGTGCACAATGAGGAGAGGAAACCACGGGCCGGAAATGACTGTAAAGGACGAGCAGTGCTCGAAGCTTGGCCTGAGAAAGCCGAAAACGCAGAGGCCCTGCCGACGTATTGCCTGCAACTTTATTTGGCAAGAGGGACCTTGGTCTGAGGTACCTTCATACCTCGCCATTATCTTCTATCGATCACGTCTTACGCCACTGCCTGTCTCTTGTTCATTTCGATTCGGTTTCGGTTTTTTAGTTTTTACTTTAATTCGATTCCTGCGACTTGAGCTTACCGATGAATTTCATGAATGAATTTCAAGAATGAAGATTAGAAAGAATTCAATAAAATTAAATAATTAAAAGTCAAATTTCATTAAATGTGAAAATAAGAAAGGAAATATATATTTAATGGAACGGAGTTTCATTAGGAAATAAGTATTTTTTAAATGTTTAAAAATTGATTCTAAGAAACAAAATTTTACATATTGAAACTCATGACATTAAAGTGAAATTACGAAATTATTACAATAAAGTTACAATTAAATTACAATTTTGTTTCAATTTTGATTCAATCAATGTACGATGTCTTAAGTAATTAAGCAGATAATTCTTAGATATGAAATACTTTTATTTGCTACTATACCATATTACTTCTTAGATACGAAATACTTCAGAATAGAAGTACAAAATAATTTTGTATCGAAAATATTATTTTCATTAGTAAGCTCGATTTCGTATATGGAAATTGTTTGGAGAAAAATACTCACTAGAAAGTCGTATTCTATCGTGTGGCTTATAGCCGTATAACTTTGATCGAATGAGATCTCGATATGTTTTCATATATCATAAAAATATTAATTCAATAGATAATCCAATAACTCAATAACCCAAAAGTTCATATTACTTTAACATGTCACAATAATCTCCATATTCATTTTTATTTCATTTCGTCCCTCTTCAATTCATAAATACCAAAAAAAATTCCAAGATCAATAATTGGAGTAGAGAAATTTATTCCATTGGATTCTATACGAGCACTCTAATAATTCATCTTATTAACACTAATAATATTGTATTAATCCAGGGTTGATTTATACTTGCACATTTGATCGTTGGAACGAGCATGCGAGTTGTATGATTTTTTTCTTGAAATATATGTGCATTATTCTTGTTGATTCAGCACGCGGTGATCATCGACACGAGATATTGATGTCTTTATTTCTTATCTTTATATCACTGCATTTCCCTAAAACCTCTTTATTCTGTAACAACGTTTATCGGCTTATCTAATATATATATCTTCAAGTGATATATATATAAAGCACTGTGGATTCCGGGACGATTATTCCACTGAAACCACATAACTTATTGCAGGAAAAATTAATCATCGCATTTTTGTATATACAGGATGTTAAATAAAAAAAAGAAAAGAAAACAATTTGGGAAAATGTAAATTTTGTAAAGTAACGTTGCGCATGTACATTACCGTTCAAATGTACGAAAACACTTATTAGAATAAAATTAATTTTTCCAATTATTCAAGATATGCACTTATGATATCCTATATTTTTTTTTTATACATTCTCTCCCAGTTTGTTTGAACTTAGCAATATATGTAAACGATCTCAATGATTGTATGCCAACACTCTGTTGTAACTATTATTAATTTTAATTTTACAATGTATTTTAATATGGTTGAAAATGATAAGTGTTTTCCTACTTGAATATACGTATTATGTATATTTTCGTCACTAACAATAATTGTCCATGTTAATCATAAAAATTATGAAAACAGCAAACATAAAGAACAAATGTTAATATATTACAATATTATTATATTATATAACAAGAAATTTTATATTAATGTACAGAACTTTTAAATGTCAATATCAATATGTATATACCTATACATTTCGTACATCATTATAAATCTACATGTGCTATAACATTCAGTGCATGAAACCTCTGTACATTATCACGCTTTCTACGAATATTCTCAAGAAATATTCTAACACATTCATGTCAATGATATTAAGAGATATTGCAATGAATCTTGAAAGAACTTGAGAGAATATTATTCTTATCAGGAAAATAAAGATAATCGTTGTGTAACGTGTTTAACAAACATTAAGAAAATATTGTAGATAAGTAAAGAAATACTTTAATTTTTCGTACTAACATTGATCGATGTGTTTCAAGTGTTCGAAAAAATGTGGCGAAGGAATTCAACGGCGATTAGTGACTTGTCACCGTGTCAATCGTTATGGATTGATCGATCATATGCCCAGTGATAAATGTCCGATGGATCAGAAGCCTAAATCTCAACAGTCTTGCAAATTACGAGAATGCGACGATAAATATTACTGGCGTGCTGATCCATGGAAGAAGGTGAGCGTAATTTAAATAAAGAAGACAAAACGATTAAAAAATTAATTTTACAATACATTTTAACTCTAGAGTATTCGATTTCTTGCCCGAGTAAATTTACTATGATATATTTGGTGAACGAAACAATGAAAGTTTCAATGAAAAGGAAGAAACTTGTTTGTCTCTTTAATATCGATTATTATTTATTTATACTACGATAGAAACGCCACGAACGACTTTTACATTTCGAATAACAGAGAAATTTCAATTACAGTGCAGTCACACTTGTGGCACGAAGGGTCGCAAAACACGAAGACTGTACTGCGTGACCTTAGGCGGTAAGAAAGTAAACCGTTTCTACTGTTCTAAAAAGTTCAAACCGCCCCGAAGGGAAAAATGCAATGAAAGAAAATGTTACGCGATGTCCTGCTACGAGGCGAAAACCTACTTCAATGCTACCAAGGATGGCGAGTATACTTTAGTCATGGCTGGAAGAAACATGTCGATTTACTGCCATGGAATGTCGACTTCTCAACCAAAGGAATATTTAACACTGCCAGCTGGTCCCGAAGAGAATTACGCGGAAATAAATGATCAAAGGTCTGCACAAAAGAAAATAAGAATCACCATCGTTAACTCTTGATAACGTCATGTGACTTAGAAATTACATACACGTACTCCTGTTAAAATGTCTTGAACTGCATACTGATTTAAAAAAATCAATTTTATACATACATAAAGAACGAATCATTAAATATTCTGTACGATACTTATCAGATCACAAATTTATTAGAAATGATAGACATATAATACGAGTTATTCGGTAAAATTCCTGGAAAAATATCTTTGTGTTTCTGTTTGCCAATTTTGTTTGCTTTAAGAGAAGAGCATTAGCACTGAAGATTTATATCGTTATCTGTTTTAGATTGAACGATCCTTATATTTGTCCGTATAGTGGACCGAGAAACAGCAATTGTAATTGTTCCACTTCCGGGAAGACAACATTCAGGAGGGTACGAATTGATCCTATAGAATTGTCTATCATAGGTATGCTATAATAAATGTCTTACGTATAAAAAATAAATTGATGGTAAATCTTGAAAAAAAAAATTGTGTGTTTTAGAGAATGATTATACATTTTCGCGGATGACAGGGTCAAATCGTGTCGAATATGGCACGGCTGGTGACTGTAATAGCATTGCACACTGTCCTCAGGGTCGTTTTAGTATTAACTTAAGAGGCACTCAATTACAATTATCGTCCAGTGTTGTTTGGATGTCGACACATGGAACATCGAAAGAGATCAATAATATTGTAAGTGTATTATTCACATTATTAAATAATTTTCTTGTCTAAATACTATAATACTCATTTAAAAGAATATATAATATATTTGTATATTTTTATATTATATTGTATATTATTTCTTATTCATTAGTATATAACTATGTCTGTAATTTCAGAGCAGTCAGTATGTCACCGGGAAATGTGGAGGCTATTGTGGCTTTTGCAAGCCGAAGAACGGATTAAAACTAGATGTTTTACCACCCTAGTCTGCAGTATATAGGGCTCAATAATCTTCAAATGCCTGTAAAGTACAGGTGAGATTTTTTTCAAATTAATTTAATTAATTATTAATTGTATAGTAATTAACATTAATTTGAAAAGCTAATACTCTTCTCATACTCGTGACAATTACTATTAATTATTGAAAAATTAATAAAAGGAGTTTGACATGTTCACGTTTGTATAAGATTTACAAAATTGATACATTTCAATTGCAATTAATCATATCGTCCTGTGAATGAATTGAGAATAAAAAAAATTTGATAGTATAAACATACAATATTGCAGTTTTTAACAGGTAAAAATTCCACTAACGGATTTTTGAGCGTGTCGCAAAAGACTGGTTCAACGAACACAAGATGAAATCGACGAGATCCGCTACCCAACCGATCCCTTCACCTCGAACTTACTCTAAATTGTTCGCTTAAATCGTTACCAATCCGCCAGTGGATTTTTAACGACAATAATCATTGTATATTCGGATGAGAAAGTCAGCTTCAAAATAGACTCAATGGATCATTAGAAGCTCTTGAAACGCTATTGTAATGAAACGCTATTGAAATACAGAACGTGATAATTAATATTACATTAACGAATCGTTCGACAATTTGTATTTAACTTTATTCAGTAGTTTTATCTGTCGACTATAAAGATACTACAAATTAAAAAGTGACAATGATTAAGTGACTTTTCAAAATATCAATTTTTATATCCAATGTAAAATTTCGGGAAAACAAAGAGCGAGATAAAGTCAATAAATTCTAAATAGGTATACAAAATAAATTGTTTCTCCATAATGGAGTCGTTCCAAGGAATGGATAATCAAACAAGTCGAACACTAGTAAAAAAAAAAAAAGAATCCCGTATAAGAGAAGATACATAGTAAAGTGAATGAAAGTTATACTTTCGACAGAACCACGTGAATTGTTCGCTTTCCTATTCGTCGAATTCTAACACTTGTAGTTAAGAGGTCCGTTTAGATATATAAGTAACTTAATGTCCGGTAAGAATTGCAGTATTCGTTTTCTTTATACTCGTTGAAACATCATGACTGCCCGAAAGTTAATGGTTTATCGAACAAGGAATATTGAAAACAACGTGGTAAAACGTGTATACGTCGACGTTAGAACGCGAAGTACAAAAATTGGAAAACAACGAGCCACGTAAAATCTACAAACCGAGCGTTGCTTTAATCGAGCCGAAGTGTTTCAATTGAAGATCCGTTCAATTGAAACTGAGATCACTAAAGAAAAAAATTAGACTGCCTCCGTAATTCTTTTACAACTATGGTGCTGTTATAGGTTTACTTGGAAAGAGTGAAACTAATTAGGCGTGAATGAAAATAGAGTCAGCTGATACACTTCATCCCTTGAACTCACTTTTCACTATACTGAGTTTTTGTTGTTAGAGAGAGAAGAATGTTTTCTACATGTCTTCTAAACGAAGTCGTCAATCTTATTTCAGTGGGATACGTAAAATTATAATACGTAAAATTTAATTAATATTTAAATTATTAACTGCAAGATTTAGCTAAATGGCAACTTCTGTCAAAGAAGGAACGTTTCAAGTATTTTATTTTGTATTTGGTTGTTTGTGTGTAGATACTCGATCTTATATAGTCTTTTATAAGAATTATTCATAGAAGAATATTTCAAGCCACTAGATACTTGTGCGAATAACCGAATACTCGTAAATTTTCGTAGAAAACATTATTCTATTGATGCAAATAAGTAAACAGGACAGCTGTCGTAGAGCCTTTTGAATCATTTTTTAATGGCGTGAATTTTTACCACTTTTAGCGATTAAGTTGCATTAATTAAAAAGAATTGTAAAACGCGAAATGAAAAAGTTCGCAACCGGGATGCGTTTTCTCGATGCACGAAGCAGTTGTACATTTTGCCACTGCCATAATATCCTTATTGTCTTCGTATTTTGTGCTTACACTGCGTAATAACGACTAAATGTTGTAATGTCGAGATACAAGTGTCATTTAGAAGACAGACGGTTGCATTACCATGAAGAAACACAAGTTAGGACTTTAGTATTCTGCGATTTTAGTGACACGTAATAATAATGGTAAATGTTATTAGACGAGCTATGATTTAGCATTGGTAGAATCGTAAACATAGTTTTGGAGTCAGCTAATCGAAACTCCAGACATTAGCAAACGAATTAACTTATTAACTTGAGTAATATTGAGACGTCGATAATAGTTGAATAATAATTCAATTGATCTTGCGTCGAATATTTTATAGATATATATATATATATATATATAATATAATATAATATAATATAATATAATATAATATATATAATAATATCTACATTTATACACCTTTTTTAAAGATATTTAGAAGAACAACACGCACATATGTATGTATGTATGAAATGAATCTAGCAACCAGACCAAGTTATATCTGTATTCTAAATAATGAAGTTAAAAATGAGTCGTATACAAAAATCTTATTCTGTTTATATGCTTTATCATATTTTATTGCAGATTGCTCTTTAAATAAAATCTTTCTCTTATTTTCCATATACATTGATTTCCCGGATGGAAGATAATCAGAGTAATGTTGATAGGTTTAAAGCAATAAAGAATAAATGAAAAAAGATAATCAAAAACACAATCTCACATAGTTTCTTTATTAATTAATTTTTATAATCTTTTAATATCTTTAACGTGTACTGTTTATTTTAAACTGAAAAGACTGCGTTATTTATCAAGTAATCTAATGAATATGTCAAACTTCATTTGGAATAGAAATATAATTTGGCCCAGTTGTTAAAATCACCATATATATTGTTTCGAAATTGTCGACCGGATATGTCATTTTTATATCAGTAAGATTATCTCTATCGATTAGATGTTCGCATATCAGTTCAGATAAGAAGCGAGAAAAAAAAGAAATAAAGTGTCGTACTTAAACCAAAATATTAAAACAATTCCCGAGTACAAATCCGTTTTGGCTGAAGTACGACCGATCCCCTGCCCTCCTTTCTGTTCTCCTTGGGACTATTTTTTAACGAAGGAACCGAAAGGAATTTAGAACTAACTAGAAATATGTAACAGACTGCCATAATTAATGTTATTGACGAATACATGTATTAAGAATCGTTTGTTAAAGAGTAAGTAACGCGATATACAGGGTGATTCTATATAATTCTATAATTTATAACGTATAGATAAAGATAACAAAAGATGGGATTAAGAAAAATTTTGTATTATTTGATAAGACTTTAATTATGAATGGAATGCAATTAATTTCTTTTATTTGAAATTGTTGATTTTTAATATTAATCTTTTTAACAGAATCGTAACCGCATATTATGAATGTTAAAGATTCTAGTGGATTTTAATATTTAATTTTAATTTAAATTGAACTGTACAAAATTCTTCTATTCCTTTTTTACTTATTTTTACACAAAGCAAAGTTAAAGTGTCTAACTTGCTCCTAAAATCACCCTGTATAAACATAGAAGTTGAATCAATCAATCGATCCACTGTCTTCCACGATGTCCAATCTGTGCGCGATGATATAATCTACATATTTGGATGAATTTCGAAAAATTCTATGGAAGACTGCAATATAGCATTGAAAAAAAAAACACATTTTATGGTATATGAGTTTTGTACAGCCGTATGATCAAAATTTTCGTCACGATAATATAAATCATAATGAATAAAAAAGAAAGAAGCAAATTACATCATTGTAATCTGTTTGAATCATGTTTGTAAAAAAAGAAAGAAAAAAAAGAAAAAGCATAGAGCAGAAAAGGAAAATTAATAATTATACGACTTGACTATGCATCGACGGACATTTCATAATGTACAAAATTTGTTCATCTTGCATTATTTTTCTTTCATTACAAATGTTCGTCAATAAATGCTGAATGATGACTGCTTGAAAATTTTAATATACAGCACGTTGCATAATCAAAAATATGTTTTCTTTTTTTTTTTGTATATATATTGATCGTAATCGAACGATATTTTACAAACTAACAATGTTTTCTACAGTGTATATTGTTATATACGTTTTTAGTATATTTTTTTTCATTTATCCCCGATTTACACTATATGTATTCTTTTCATATAATTATGCTAGTTTCTAAACTTCATTGAAACGACTTTTCATTCTCTATTTTTTTACGACAATAACGAACTATCATTCTATTAGATCGAGTATTTTTCTATAAATGTTTTGGAAATAAATTATTTCGTTGTAACAGCATATGTTCGACGCAGTAATTGAATTCACGATCTCGGAATCCAACTTTTCCTTTTTTGCCTATTCGCGAGAATAAAATAAGTGTAATCATTCTAAACACTAGCACAGCGAAACATCATTGTACAGTTTCGTTTAATAATAATTTATTAGCATATATTTCGTTTAATATCATTAATGTATAACTTAATGTAGAAATGATTGGTACCAGTGTACGGCAATTATTTAAATATAATAGATTCATCAATAAGAAATGGTCTGCATTCATTTGGAAGTCCTTTTCATCTTACAAAAAATTTGAAAAATTCTAATTAAGAAATATTTTTCTTTTTTCCTCGAAGTTCAGACAAATGTTTTAAAAGTGCATTCACAATAAAAAACATTAAATTTTTTATTATTTCAAATTGAAATAATAAATCTCACATGTTACGTGGATTTGATCGCTTTAACTGGATTATCTATAAAATTAATTTATCTTATACATATTATTTTTCACATATTTATCAAACTGCACAACACTATCAAATATCGCATTAAAATGCACTCAAAATACGATTGCCATAAACATTATTTTAAATTCAAGTACTAATTTCCTCTAGATCATTTATAAAATGGAAAAGAATTCGTTCCTATATCCTTTGTAATATTGTAGTAATACTTTACCTTTATAATATTTATAGTAATTATTAAAAAAAAAAGACTAGATTGACAGAAGAGGTTCAATATCAAACTATGATGAAATAATTTCTTGTTGAAACTTAATTGATATGCATAAAATCTCCTCTACTTAATACTACAATTTCATAATTTTAAAATGATTCTGGTAAAATTGCATTAAATGGCATTAAATATATATACAGAAATCTTAATATAATTAGTAAATATACATACAGAAATCTTAATATAATTAGTAAATATATATACAGAAATCTTAATCTATTTTTAATATCTGGGAATTACTTGTTTACAATAAAATAATAAATATAAACATTTAAATAATGAACCATAATTTTTCTGAATGTATAATATATTATTATTATAAGATAATATTACATGTATTTTTTTACATATTAAGATATTCTTATAAATAATATTCTTATAAATAATTTTTACATATTTTTTGTGCTAACATAATAGATACTTTATACATATAACTTTTATATAAACATCTGCTGTAATCTTGTTAGACCAAAAATAACTTTCTTTATATATCAATTGATATATAAGTAATTTACTCCTTTGAAAACTATTCACTCATAAAAAAACATTTTGATAGTTATTGTAACTGTAAGAAAAACATTCAAGAATGATCCCTTATATATGTTATATATCAATTGATATATAAGTAATTTACTCCTTTGAAAACTATTCATTCATAAAAAAACATTTTGATAGTTATTGTAAGAAAAACATTCAAGAATGATCCCTATCTCATTTATCAATTTGTATATTTATATTTTAATACTGACATTAATTTCTTTCAATTCTGATAATTGCTAAATAAATTTATAGTAACGTTATATATAGATATATTTATATATTTATTTTCTAAAATGATATAATTACTTTCCTAACATCTTATTAATAAGTTATTTAATAAGTTATAAGATTATTTAAAATTAATATTATTTTGGTACTTGTTATAAAATTTAAATCGAGAGTTTTAATTTCATTTTTACAACTGAGACAAATTATTAAAAGAATTATATAATGTGATATAACTATAAAAGGTGAGTCATTATACAAGCAAGTATGTATAATCATTTTGTACTTAAAATAGAAGTTTAAACTCTAGTTTAAAAATATTTTAAAAAAAATCAAAGTTGATACATAAAATAAAACAGTATTATTGTATACCACTGTATGAAGAAGAAAATTTAAAAATATAAAAGAAATATAAAAATATAATATTTCTTTATCGATTCTTAACTAAAAGTTCATAACAACAAGATAAAGAACAAATTATTAAAAACTGTAGTAACTGTAGTAATTATTAAAACTTCAAAACAATTTTTAAATGAAAACTGTAATAGTCAATAATGCAATAATCAAACGTTACTTCATGAGTAAGATTCTATAATCATATTATAATGATGTCTCAATGAAAAATTAACACAATTAATTTTCTATCATAATCATTTACCAATTATGATTATATTTGCCTTAAAAACAATGTATATGAAATAAGAAAGAATAATGTTAATATTTGATTACTTTTGTTCTTTTAACCATTAGTTATACCTTAATACCTTAGCAAATATACCTCATGTAACTCTACTACTGTAAAATAAATGTTGCATCTTAAAATTTTACATATATATGCATTTTTCATAACATACCTTAAAATTAGTTTTTCATTTGTTTGTTATAATAACAAAAGTTTAAGCAAACAATGTCATTAAAATATAACATTAAGATATAATATAAGCATTATTAATAAGTCAGTTACTGTGTCAGTCTAATTAAATGACATCTTTTGAAGTAGAAGCCATATTCAGATCATAGTTTTTATTTTCCTTCTGACTTTCTTCGAATACTGATTTTGGAATTTTTATTTGCCAATTTGGGAGAATCGTATTTATTTCATTTCCATTGATTTTTTGCGAAGACTCACGTGTTATTCGTCTGTTTCTTATTTGCGATTGATCTAACCTCTTCTGGTCAACATACTTATTCATTTGTTCTTCCGTTAATCTTTGCACAATAATTTTACATTCTCGAATATTTACAGCCATGGGTTCCACTAAAGGGGTTACTTTTAAATTTTTAAATGCATTTTGCTCATTAACATCCTTAACGAAATGCATCTCGCGCTTATCTAATTTTACGTTGTTTTTAATTTTAATTCTAATCTTTTTGCTATGTGGTATATTCTTTTGCTTAAATTTAGGCGGCATCGTCTTTACTTTTAAGATTGTTTTCGTTTTTTTGGCTCTCTTCAATTTAAAAGGGGCTAATTGCATGTTTAACTCGAAATATTTTTGCTTTGTTACTTCTAACTTTTGCTTATTCTCTGCAATCTGCATCTTCATGAACTTCACTTTCTTCTTCAACCCCTTTTCATATTTCCTCTCATAACGTTTCAATTCCTTCTTAATTTGTTCAAATTGTGTTGTTAAATGTTTCTCCTCCATCATTAACTTTTGGATTCTTTGAACTCTTGTTAATTCAGCTTTCGATTTCGGATTTTCTTTCGTAGTATCGTATCGATCTATTTGCTTTTTGAGCATCTCAAGGATTGTTTGAATTCCACCCTCATCGTTATTATCTTTCTGATTTGAGACCACATCCATAATTAAACAAAAGCTGACACAAACTCTTAAATAATCACTGGTTTACCAACAACCTAACTTAAGCTTATAGCACCGTGTAGTCCAAACTTCATAACAAAACTTACCAATGCTGCCGCCAGAGGACTGCGAATACTCGAAGCACATAGCAAACTGTAAATTTTTCATGAAAAATTAATAAAAAAAGAAAAATAGAATAAAAGAATAGTAGAATTTTCTAAAAATAAAAAAACTAATTTATCTTAATTACTTCTGAATGATGATTTTAGTCGTTTTAATCTCTTTCACAATTGAACATGATTTAACCCCATTTCCATCAATATTTCGACTTTCTCCCACTTCACTATTTGTATCGAGCAATGCAACGAATATGTATTTCTCACTTTTACTTTTATATTTTGTTCTAAAATTTAATATAGCAAAGAAACGAAATTATATCAAATCATGTTTCTCATGAAATTTACTTTTGAATTTTTCCTTTTTTTTCTCAAAAACTACTGTTATGAAGACCCCGACATTGATTTTGCGTTCAATCAGTACGATACAGTACTCGTAGCATACTATAACACAGTGTTATGATATGTAGCATATAAGTCATTTTTTAAATTATATTCATAAAAATACGTTTTAAGTTGCAGTATTTTAAATTTAAAGAACGTAAAATAAACATGTAGTCTTCTGTGACTGACTGTAGAGATTAATCTCTTTATTTAGTCTCCTTGAAAACGTACAATCTACATATATTTTAAGATCATCATAATTGCGTGAGATCCACTTTGAATACGAACAATTAACCTGTTGAATTCTTCGATAACAAAGTCGTAAAATGAGGAAAATCTATTTTACTCACAATGATACGATTTTCCTTATTGACTAGTTAAAAGCCAGAAAACTAATCGCGAACACTTCTCTGCACATTTAACACATTGTATATATTGCTGATTGCTGCACGAGTTTTACATTATCAATTTTACTAGTTTTCTTTCTCTCAGAGAGGGAAATTTTTATTTAAAAATTTCAGAAATATAGGTATATGTTATCATTCAACTGCGACTAAGTAAAAGCTGTTTCCGGGAACATGTTTAAAAAAAATATCGAGGAAATATTATTCCAGCGATTACGACTCAAGTTATTTGATAAAAATGTGATAAACAGAGTATAACTTTGTTAATACTTTGTAATTTCAATTAGATAAATATAACGATCTATGTCACCTGATCGATTGATAATTTTCGTAACTTTAATTTTTTCATTCCGTACAAATACAGTCAATATCCATATATCCATAAAACATGGGATCTGACATCGAATATAGTCGGGATTCCAATACTAATAAATTTATAGGATACTTGTAATTTTGATTCTGTTTGATTATGTATCAAAAATACAGTTCTTTATGAAAAAGTCAAAAATTAATTCTTTCTTTAGCCGAAATATATATATTTCCTGACCAACTTCTTTGTATAAAAGGCCTTTGTACAAAAGGCTTGGTAATTACATAAAAAAAGAGTTAAGGCTGTTAACTATTATTAAAATAAAAGATTTAATAATTATATTTATAGTTATTATAATAATAATAAAATTTTGAAATTCTACATGAATTGAAACATAAATTACTATGCAGAAACTGCTAGTTATATTGTGTATACTTACACATCCACATAAAACAACTTTTTTTAAAGCTTCACCTTATTGCAGCAAATCGTTAGAATCCAATGAGAGGATTAATTCTCTAGAATACGAATATTCGTTCTATACACTTTATGCCGGAAATGGTGATCTCATTTGAAAATATTACTGATCACAAAGATATTTATCATATCATTTAATTACAAATATCGTAATCATATCATTTAATTATCATATCGTAATTACAAATCATCTTATTTCTGTTTAAATTTTTTTATCTTTTTCATGATAAATAACATGATCGAATGCCTTATTTTTAATCGGTTGTCTTGCGCAAAAATGATTAAGAAATTCTTAACTAGAATATAGAGTTCTCTCATAAAAATCCGTTGCAATTTATCTTTTCCTAGAAGTGATACTTTGGTTTAGAAGAACTGTTGCAGTTATCTATGACCATAGTAATAAATAACATAATAACATCAATCATTCTATTCTTATTAGAGTTGTTTTTGACATATAAAATATATGAACTCTATAAATAATATGCAAATCGTTTGAAATTTTTCGAATTCTTCAATTAAACGGTGAACAATCATTATATGTTCATATAAAATGAAGAATTGTTCTTTTAATACTTCACGACAAATCCCTCCATGAAAAAATAACAAAACACTCAAACAACAAATCATTTTGTTACTAAGATTTGTTAGGAAATAATTTTTTTCTTACTCAAATATCGAATAAGCGAATAAGCAAATAACAAGAATAATAAGAATTTTAAAATGTTTCTTTCATAAAAAAAATATCTATACATATTTTATATTTCGTTATTATTGCTACACAATTTACATCAATAACTGATCAAATCACTTATTGATTTGTTTACACAAATTGATTTCTTTTTGCTTAAAAGTTATCACAAACTGAATTTCAACACAAATAGCATTTAAGCAAATAGTATAAGTAACACTGTCTATTAAAAGAATACATGCGGGTATAAGATAGGATCCATCAAAAACTGATGTGTTGTGTACAACATATGCATATGTGTGTATATGCCAAACTGATAGAGATTACATGATCGTATATACCTGAATATGTTATCATTTATCCTCTTTACCCCGATGATTCAGGTTGACTCACGATTGTAAGCAAGTGGTTACCTATAAGAGGCAAGAGTACTCATCCGTCACTATCAATTTGCGAAGACGTGATATACCAAGTGGATCGAGATTTTTTTCTTCTCAGAAACATGAAATCGCTTGTTTTTCTTTGCTTATTGTTTGTAACTTTCTGTGCTGCGCAGGTAAGAGTGTAATTTGATTTTTAGACATTTATGAGAAAGTAATATGCAAAAATATAAAATACATACAAATGAATTATAATATTTATACGGAGAGACAATTCACTGTTCCATTTTTTACGTTTACATTGAATATCCACTGGCTAATGATTAATTGGTAAGATTTATTAGTCAATTGTCGGGCAATTCCATCAATCTAGATTAAAAGATATGTTCTATTGAGAATTTAACGATTATTTTGATTCATAATAATATCTAGAACGTAAATTTTACTTAAACGTAGAAAGAAATAATGTTTACTGTCACCAGGATTATATTTACTTTCTTATTAACTTAATAAATTCTTCATTAGAAATTGATTTAAAATTAGACCGATAATTGACAAATTAATCAATAATTTTCAATGATTTGCTTATCGATTTTAATATCTGTGTACTTGATTAAATTTTTTAATCTTACAGAGAGTTCCTAACAACGTGTTGGATCAAGCATTTACAGCTATAAAGAATGCTAAAAATTCGGTTGATACCGTCATGTTAGATCTGAGACATTCTAGGACGAATATCAACTTAAAAGCACAATCTGAAATTACCAATTATTATATCGCAGCCACTAGTAGAATAAATGAGGTTCTAAACACTCGTCTTAATTATATCAAGGTAAATTATAATCTTTGTCAGAATAATATTTATTTTATTACATGGTAAACTTGGAAACCTGGGTTCATATTCTTTCACATTTATATAAGAAAAAGAATATAATTTTTTTATATAATAGACACTATCAATTGAAGCTTTTTACTATCGTAAAGTTAATTTTTCGTACAATCATTTCCAACTCTTAAAAAAAAACAAAAATTAATGAAAATCAATAATAATTAACTTGTTTGCCGATTTTCAAGTTACGCAAAATTAACTTTAATTTAAAATTTAAAATTATTAATTAAACGATTAATGTTAATGATTATTACTAGGAAAAATCACAAGAAGCAAAGGAGTCGGGTAAAGATGCTGATGATTGTTTAAATATCGTTACAAAAGATATGAAAGCTGCCGCTCAAACAGGGTATAGCGAAGTTAAATCGTGTGAACAAGAAGCTAATAAAAAATTAGGAACAATATTACAAACATTTGACAACGAGCAAGCAGTATGTATCATATTTTCATATTAATTAACTAAATAGTGAATATTGATCAAACTTGATTAAATAGTGAATACTTACATATGCTTTAAATATTTTATTAATTGATTGTTATTAATGCAATATAACTCACACTTTCAGAATGGTCAAAAATTAAAAAATCAATTAGATCAAATTGCTCTAGAATGCATGAATTCTTCTAATCCTCAACAAATGGCAAACTGTATATTCCTAAAAATAGCAATCATCAACCAGGACATTCGTCAATATCAGCAAAGAGCTTCACAATTAACAAATCAAGCAAATTCTCAGAAAAATGCATTACTTTTAGAACAATTCTCTTGTAATGCTAAAGCCAATGATAAAATTCAAAGTGCATCCACTAAAGCTATATATGCTGCAGTTGATTGCCTTAAAAACTGAAATAAACCAATCTTAACATTAAATTCATTGAATACTGAATCAAAAATTAAATTTGTCAAATGTAAAATTAAATTTATATTTCTGAATAAATTAAAACTTTATTTCTAAGATACCATATTGAATTATTCTATAATAAATAATACTGATATTTATATAGTATCTTGTATGTTGTGTATTCTTTTATGGAAAGACAGTAACATACTTATATTTTGTTGACACTTCCAATCATAGAAAGATTAGAAATTAAAAATATCATATCATAAGAAGATTAGAAATATAACAAAATTAAAGATACAAAGATAATTAGAAATATAACAAAATTAAAGATACAAAGCAATTATCTTATGTTTTCATCATGTAATAGATATATGCATATATATAAATAAATTTCACCTTCTTTTATTTTTTTTTATTTACAGTCTAAAAAAACCATATTCTATTTTATTATGACTTACATATTCAAATATTTAAAAACATATATACTACAAATAAAACTTATGTCCGCTTGAAAGATATACTAAATCAAAAAATAGTAAATCATAATATACATTCCAATTCTATTAATCTTTACAAATTATTTATGCAATAATATAAAGTTATATTTTTTTTTTTATTAGTTATAACTACTATCATAAAATTTGGCTAATACATATGAAGTTTTCAACTTCAAGATTAAAATATTTATGAATAATTATATATGTATTTTTATAATAATGTTTTGTGCCATAATAGTTAAAACAATTGTAACCATACTTATCGTAAAATTTACTATTCATTCTATCATGGATACATATATACTATACATATAGTAAATCATTTGTTCATAATAGGATAAAAATAACTTTCATATTAAAGTAGATATCGAACAAAAATTAATATCATGTATAGCGAGAAATCAAATATTCTGATATTATAAAATATTTCAAGTTCCCAAATTTTATAATTTAATTAATTTTGTTAAGCTATTGTAATTAAAATAAAAATTACATGCATTTACTAAGTAACGAAATTTATTTATGACTTACAAATCATTAAATTTTCTATTTGTAGCAAAAATTTTATATTTGATTGATTAATATTTTAAATTTTAGCATATTATATATTATATGTATATATTATCAGTAGTCCCATATATGCATGAAGAGGTTATTGCTTTACTAATGCTGAAAAACGCCATCTGAAATATTGTTAACCAATGGCAGTAAAGATATTCCATGTTTGATTGTTGCTATTTGTTTAATTATCAGGATTGAATATATAATAGCATATATCTTATTTTGATCGTAAATTTTTCAAATATTTATAGTAATATTTTAATACTATTATACGCGATTGATGAAATTTTGTGATGGAAATTGTCAGTAAATCATAAAGATCATATGCATATATTAATAGTGAAATTGCGTTATATATATGACGATTAGGTTAGGCAATTAAAAATCATTTATTTTTGTCCTTTACTCCTTAGTGTCTTATATTAAAAAATATTGAATAAATAACACAACATATGACAAAAAGGGGTATCAAGAAAAATTAGAATCAAAATTAGAGTATTAAAGAAATTAATTTAAGAAAATTTACTGTTACTAAATGATGAAAATATAAACACTTATATTATCTGAGAGAATTGTTATCAGATTTTATAAAATAAAATTGTTACCATTTATTTAAATATATTTTTACTTAAACTATTTCTAAATCACAATAGATTAAAATTATTTCTATTTCAGTTTCAGAAAATATACATAGATTTACTGTTTCAAAGTTTATATAACATTTGATTTAAAAAAATTAATAAAATAAATCAATAAAATAATTATTAAAATAAAAAAAATATTTTCAAAAATATAATTTGTATTTTTGAAATGTTAAAAGTTCCTAGTAGAGTAAGTCTAATTAAAAATTTTGTTCTGAAATTTATATGATTTATATTTTGCAAGATTTTATTTTGAATCAATAACGTTTTTTTCTGTTGAATAAAACATGAATACTTATTTCACAAACTTATACGACTTGATTGTTCAATTCTTGACTTATCTACAAATTTAAAATTTGGCTTATTTTTTTTTCTTTTCTTTCTTTTTTGTTATATGATGCAACTGTGCACCTTTCATTGCTTGCAATTTTCTTTGTATCATGTATATACATAATCAACAGAGCCTGTAACTTTCTTATCGTACCCAGGCTTACATTAAATTTCGTAAAAAGAATAAAATTGTTTTCCAATTTTTACAAGAGACATTTCTATTTTATATTATATTTTATCTGTAAATGAATGTAATATATTGTGTGTGTATATCTGTATGTGTATATGCATGTGTATATTTGACATTAATCGTAAAAATTTGTTTAAAACTTAACAAAGGCCGTGTAATATCGTACATGACATTAATATAAAATATTCTATACGCATTTTATAATCTACTCATAGATATCCTTGATTCAACATTCATATATATTCGTATATTATATACACATACGTGCATCATATGTATATTTTTGTAGACTCCACTTAAATAAATAGTTGGTTCAAAGGAAAGATAAAATTGCATTATGTAAAAACGAATACTTTTTTACAATCGTACAAGGAGTTTAATTTACATCAGTTGAAACATAACGTGTTAAAACTCTCGAATAAAACTACACTGTGTTACAGGCTATCCTTTTACTTGGAAAGAGCCTTTTTCCCCATTATCTTTTAATTACTAAATTAATGTTATGCTGAATTATATTTTAGTCTTATACGCTATTTCGTACAGGGTTTACTAGATTTACTATCTATCTCAACAGACATTCATCTTCATAATAACAACATAGACATCGAGCCATAATAGGGATAATGATAGTCTTATATTTTGTTTCAGGTCACACGATGATTATTCGTGGCACAGATATATCAGCGAATTAATTCGACCAGCTCATGATTTTGTTGCAATAAATGTATTTCTTCTTCTTTTTTTTTTTGTTTTAGTTTACTTAAAACTAAGAGTAGCAATAGTAATTTTATAGCAGCAGCAGCAGCAGCAATAATGATAATATTTATAATAACTATCGTTAACATATTTTGATAAAATTATATTAATAATTATAATTGTAATCGTCATGACCATCATCATTTATATACATATATATTACGTGTATATGCGTACATGTATGATGATGCATATTCCTAGTGTGTTATATTATTATCATAGATGTACACATATATTTCACATGCTAAATCTTCTCATAAGAAATCTTATATGTATGTATCAATTCAGCTCACGCAATCTCTTGCTCTACATTTTTCAGGATGGAGACTTACATCTAAAATTATATATATATATATATATATATATATACTTTTTTTTTTAAATACGAAAGTGATCGCCAGCACCGCGTTGCATAATTTTTGTTATACTAAATAACAACATCATTTTTATAAATTCCCTTTTTCTTTTGTTTTCTTTTACATAAACGTACTAATTCAACAGAATATAGAGAGTTAATATACAAAAAATCTTTTTTTTTTACAAAAATTTGATTAAAAAAAAAACTTCACACTTGTCAATAAAATTTAATTATTATTAGTATTTTTTTTAAGCAGATAAATGAATATTATGTATATTATAGCATTAAATTTTAGGGGAAAAAAGCAAAAATTTATAATTTTTAAAAATAATTCGTCAAGTATCTATATATTGCATGTTTAATATAAAAATGTCTTTTTAAATAATGTTTGATAAAATTTATGACTGCACCTGGATACTTTCCACAAAATTAAGACGTTTAAAAATCATTGCAGCGCGGCTGAGGACTCTCACTTTAGGGAGGAATTTAAAGATACACAAAAATACTAGTATGCAAGTATTGTGGGCGCATCGAGAATACCAAATAAGAAATTATCCAACTATTGAGTTGTTTTTAAAAAGGGAATTTTTTTCCTCGAAAACGCACTAGCCTTTTAAGATTGAGACGATCGTGAAACATCATCACAGATACATTGTGATGTTATTAAACAAATTCACATTTATTCAAATTTATGTGAACAATGTATTTATTGTTCTCGGAAAATCGCAATATCTCGAGCGATATAATAATTACTAAGATTTACATTGCTAATAAAATTCAGAGGTAGTTAAATAATCGCAAAATTTCAATAAAAAATTTCATTGTATCTGTAATGTATCAATTATGCAATAATTTTCACTTAATTTTACTAATTTTGACAAGAAGTTAGGTCTGAGAAATGACTGAACCCACAAAAATTTTTCTAGAGCTCCTCAATAAATGCGATTATACATAATGAATTATGAGCAAACTTGTGATGATCTAATTGTTATGCTAAATGTGTTCCCGAACCGTGAATTTTCCTCCCGGTATAAATTATACCTATGTGATTCGAAAACATCGTAATGTTACTTCACAATGAAGGACATCGACAATGAACTATAAAGATGCAATTAAAAAGGGCAGCTCATACTGTTCGCCATACCCAATAAGAGAGCATTACAATTATCGGAAATAATGTGTTGAACGTATTGCTGAACGAGCCAAGTATCAACGCAAACACACGATATAAAATACAACATAGTCTTTCATGTAAAGAAGCCAAATGGATGCTCCTTGGTACAAAATTTGTCTAATTTTATTGTTTAAAATGCATTGCTTACAAACTTTCTTACATATACACACGTTTTTTTTATTTTCCGATATCTCACATAATTCCAATAAAAAACATTTTCCAACATTATAAATATGCTTTAAAAATATTTTGAATGAAATCTAGATAAAAGAAACCAAGGTGCATACTTAAGACTTCTAAAACACATCAAGCTCGATGTAGTATTTCTTTAAATGCGCAGGTACGCGAATGTACGATCTGACCTGTGCATCTACGTGCTTGTCCAAAATTTTCACCACTTCAAGACCTAGCAAGCACAAGAATCACCCTTGCCATTATTCCTTTGGTCATTGGTCAATTTAATTTGGTCTGGGAATTCGTTATATAATTCCACCTAAAATAATAGCATCATTTGTTATATTTTAATATCTGCTAATTATAAACAAATAAATATAAGAAATGACATACCTCACTTTCTTGAGCTAAAGCATTTTTTGCTATCGTTTGGAAAGCTTGTTCAACATTGATAGCCTCTTTAGCACTGGTTTCAAAATATGGAATATTATTTTTAGATTGACACCATTGTTGTGCTTTTTTGCCATGAATCTGAAAATGTATTTATTAATGAAATTACAAATTTGAACCTCAAATTAAAATAAACATAAATGTCTAAATAAAAAAGAAGCAATGTTCAAATAAAAATATATATTAACAGATCTAAAATGCTCTTACCACTTTGGATTCCAAATCAACTTTATTTCCAAGTACAACAAATGGGAAATTATCTGGATCTCTAGGAGAAGCTTGGATCAAGAATTCATCTCTCCAGGAGTCTAAAGATTTAAAGCTACTTGGTGCAGAAACATCAAATACAAGTACACAACAATCAGCACCTCTGTAGAAAGCAACACCTAAAGATTGAAACCTTTCTTGGCCAGCTGTATCCCAAATCTAATTTAAAGTAGAAAAAGTATAATATAAGTAAGACAAGTATAATATTATAACATTATTTTATTCAACACATACTCTTACCTGCATAGTAACTATCCTATCATCTACCATTACTTCTTTGGTAAGAAAATCTGCACCTATAGTTGCTTTATATTGATTACTAAATTTCTTGCTTACATACTGATTCATAAGAGAAGTTTTACCAACTCCTGAATCTCCAAGGATAATAACCTTCAGCAATAGTTTTTTATGAGAAGCCATCGTGAACTAGAAACAAAGAGAAAACAAAAATGTTTGCTACGAATTTTATTAGTAAATTTGATTAAAATAGAAATGTTGTCAATAATATTTAGAATATCACTAAAAACTATGATAAATCAAAGTTCAATCATAGCATTAAAATGTTTCATTTGAAAAACTTTCTATAAAGATAATATTCAAATATATTAATTATGAATCAGAATCAAAACATTTGTAATCAAACATATATCTGCCATATGTACAAACAACTCAGATAAGAATGAAATACAAATAATGAAATTGGCATGTTGAATTAATTATTATCAGCTAGTTGAAAGTATGCTTAATCCTCTTTAACACGAATAAATATGAAGTTCAATTACACGAAAAGAATTTATACTATAAAAAGAATCATGCAATACTTTTTTAAAATTAGAGTTATATATCTTCAATATTTTGTTAGAGGGTTATTTTATCTTGAATTAATATCGCATTAGCACGCAACAGCTACGAATGTGAAATCGCACTATAAAACAATGGGAACGTAGAACACTAATCCGAATGTCACGGACAGATAATTTTTTTTTTTTAGTGAATCATTGAACATGAATGGGAAAAGTACTCCCCTTGGAATGACGTATGTACATTACTTGAAAAAAATCATTGCGCATAGATGTTCCAAATACGTTGTTTTTGGCGGTTAACGTCTACAATGTTTGAAGGATATTATAATAGAAACACAAGACACCGTGTAAATATAAAAGGAGATACGATAAAATAAAAATATATGTATTTAGATAGACACAAAATAGATTTCGTTTAACTGCGATGCTTGAAAACCTGTCAACACGCGATCACGACAATTGAGATTAAGTATAAAGATTAAATAAGTGATCTAAAAAGCATAAATGACGTTTATAGAAAAATGTGAATAACAATCAACAAAATAATAAAATAGTAATTATGAATTACGTTACCCTGAATTAGCTAGAAAACAGTAGGAGAAATTTCTCAGCCAGTACTTCACACAAAGAAAATGGCGTGTTATGAAATCACGAGTATGACAACGATGTCGTCACCTGTTCTTCGTCTCTTTTATCGACCGAGTATGATCAAATCTCGATTGTTAAAATCGATTCAATATTCGATATATTTACATTTGACTAAAAATGCGGCAACATTTGAAAGTTTTATCTCTTACTAAAATACTATAATATTGTACAATAAAAAATAATATGAGGAAAAGAGGGAACATGACAGCATAAGAAATGGAGATCAATATATTAAACATTTTTTTTATGTATCTATAATAACAGAAATTATATTTGTAAAAATTAAGCTTTAATTCATTTTTTTCTTTTTATAAAAATAATAAATGTAATTTATTGGAAAACGTATCTTCTTTTTGATGCTCTACTTTCAACAGAATCCTCATCGTCATCCGAAATTTTTCTTCTTTTCTTATCTGTTTGATCATTATGCGCTTGTTTTTGTAAAACCGTTTCGTGTGATTCATTTTGTGACACGGAATGTTCTTCATTTTCTTCATTAGAAGATGCCTCTTCGTCAGATTCTTGTTTTATATCATCTAATACAAAATGATCTTGATTGTCTACTAAACAGTGTTTAACAGCTGTATAACCGCTAAAAAATACAAATTACAATTGTAATTGTATTTAGCAAATAAAATATAGTGTATGTATATATGTTTATGCATACAATATGTGAGTATTTGTTATAGACATACTTTTGTTTACGATAAAGTTGATAAAATCCTTTATTATTGTTTAATTCAGCTAACTTAAACAAAAATTTCTCATCATGACTAATTATAATTAGCTGAAAATTTTTCTGATGTTGTGATCGCAATTTAACAACCCTGCAACATAAAAATAAAACGTATTAAAATTTCAAATTACAAAATGAAAATAATTTTAAATTTGTCAAAACATACGTAGCCAATGCATTTGCTAAACTATCAGCATTTGCTTGGTCCAAACTTGTTGTTGGTTCATCCAGCGCAAGAATTCCACAATCTTTACAAAATGTTTCTGCTAAAGCGAGTCTTATAATTATCGACGCTAAAACCTAGAATTAAATCATAAATATAAAATAATAAAACCTATTATTATACTATCATCATTACTATAAATAAAAGATTACTTTTTGACCAGCACTACAGCGACCTCTCATATCTATTTCATGACCATGTTTTGTTTGAACTAATTTGTAATTGTATGTTCTTCTTGTGCTGCCTATCCCTTCAGTAGCATCCGTACGAATTTCTATGGATGTTGTATCTTTGCCAGTATATACAAGCTTCCACATTTGTTTCATGATTCTATTAACTGTGGCCATACGCTCTTCATGATATTGTATCATAGCTGTATCCAATGCTTTGCTATATGCTTTCAAGTTTAATATCGCTTCCTCTAAAACCTATATATATAGTTCAAAGAAAAATGATTTGAAATTTACATTATTAATATTAAACATATAAGAATAAATATAAGAATTAAAAGTTCTGTATCGTGTACTACCGTTAATTCAATGCATTTGCTTTTATAATTTTTACGAGCTTGCCTATATGTATCTTTCTTTAATTCTTGAATATATTGTTGCATTGTTCTTTCCAATTCTTCTTTATTCCCTTTAATTATATTTTGCTAAAAATATTTTTAAAAATATATACAAATTTATGAAGATATATCACAACTGGTTTGAAATAATTTACTTTCTAACAATCATGTCAAAAATTTAATTCACAAATGTGAGATTACAAAATTTCAATTATACCTGACTAAGTAAAGCTTGTTCTCGATCTTTTAAATATTTCCATTCATCGAGCATTTGAGAATAATTTATAGTATTTAACTTCTTTTCTGTGTTCAAGTATTGTTGCTGTAAATTTTTCGTTTTGTCCTGAATTTTTCGCAGTGTAAGATTATCTGATAATTCTCTTTTTCGAACTTCTTGTCGAGTAACTTTTTCCTTTAATTTATTAATTATTGTTTCTGTATCACTTTTTTCCTTAATCAATTCATTAAGTAATTCTTCATAATCTTTTATTTTCTTTTCAGAGTTTTCTAAAGATTCGGGAACTTTATTGTATATAAATGTATCAATTTCATCTTGCATCTTTTGTAATTCAGATAAACGTCCAGCTGCTTCTGTTACAAATTTCCTATCAGATTCTTCTTTCTCCATATTATCTTTCTACAATAAAAATTATATTAATTTAATGAAATATAAAGAAAATATGTTATAATTTAATGAAAATACAGACATTCTTGCAAAAAAATTTTAAAAATATTATAATGTATAAATAAAATAAAAATATAGATTGTTATATAAAAAAATATACTTTTTGTTCTTTTAATTTCTCAATCTCTGAATTTAATTCCATTTCTGCTGTAGTTATTTCTGTTTTTAACATATTAATTGATTTTCCAAAAGAAATTTCTTTCATGTACAAAGTTTCTTGTCTTTTCTTCAATTCTTTTACTTTCTGCATATCTGATTGTATTTTTAATTGTTCCTCCTGTAATGTATTTTGCTCTTGTCGAGCATTATTTAATCTTTCATTTTGCATATTTATTTTAAATTGTAATTCTTCAATAGCATCACGAATATTTTTTATAGAGATTTTCAACTCTTCTCTTTGACTTTGAGCTTCCCCAAGATTACGTGTGGTTTCAATGCCTACAAAAATAAATTTGTTTATAAAAATGATAAAAAATTAATTTCTTCTAATATACCTGCAGCAGTCATACGAATTTGCAAATTTCCAATTGTTTGCTCTAGCTTAAAAGTGTCATCAATATATGTGTCCCATAACATAATATCACCTATGATGTCTTTGCAAATTACTAATTTCTTTTCGGGATAAGATTTTTTTGTTTCTAATTCCATTACAGTTTCTCGAGATTTATTTAACTTATTTTTAGATTTCTCTAAATCATTCCTTTAAAAAATTATATAGATTGTTATAGATTTTATAAAAAATATATATATATATATTAAAATAAATACATAATGAATAATAAAAAATTTACATTAATTTCTCTAATTCATTGCCTTCTAACTGTATTACTTTTTCGACAACTGCCTTCAGTTGCAACATTTTATCATATTTTTCTTGGTGTATTTTTAATTCTTTTTCACATTCCTTCAAACGATTTGGATGATTTTCCATTTCATTTTCCATTTCTTTTAATAAAGCTATAACAGTTTCACGTTTGTCAAAATCTCTATGACATAGAGGACAGCAAGGATTTGTTTTTTCTCTTAATTGCTTCATATATTCTTTATAAGCTGCACTTTGATGAGCATACATTCCTCTTTTGTCTTGAAGATTTTTCACTTTTTTTGATTGTAATAATAATGTCTCATCAAAATTTTTGTAATGACAAATCGCTGAAATTTTTTCTTTATCCACTGAAACAGAGAAATGCATTGATAATAATAAGCTTAAGAATAAATATATCAATATAAATTTTTAACTATTCACTTTAAACTTACAATTTATTTCTCTCTGTTTATTGTAGAGTTCACGTTCTATATGTGATATTGTTGTTTCCAACGTAGTTATTTGACGTTCTTCTGTTTGAATTTCTTGATTAATAGATTCCATTTCATTTATCTAAAATTAATAAAATTTTAAAAATTCATAAATTTGTAAAGAAATTTTATAATTTTATGACTTTAATATCTATCTTAAAATACCAATTGCTTTTGAATCATATCTAAATTAGTTTTTAATTTAGTCTGAGGTAATTTTTTAATATCAAGTAAAGTAATTATTTCTTCCTCATGTTTGTCCCTTAATTTTTCTATTTCCTTCTCTTTAGAAAGTAATGTAGATTTATTTAATTCTAATTCAGCTTGCAATGCACTTTGTTTCAATAATGAAGCTATTTCTTCATCAACTTTATTTAGAAGTGTTTCCATTTCATTTCGAATCTTAGTTTTAGCAACAATTTCTTCTTTCATAACATTCACATCCATTTCTTCATTTAGTTGTTGAATTTTTTTCTGTACTTCTTGTATTTTTGATTCAATGGAATTTAGTTTTTTTGCTGCTGTATCCAGCTGGAAACAAAAAATCATAAGCAAATTTAGTATAAAAATGACAATTTCTAAAAATGACAAGATTAAGAAAAATGTACAACCTGCACAATATCACTTTTTATTTTATTAATTTCTTCTCTTATTTCAATTACTTCATTTTCTTTAAGATTTTTTTCTGATTCTATTTTTGAATATTTATTACGTAAAATATCAATTGTTTTCTGCAATTCTTTTTCTCCTTCTTCTCTTTCCAGTTTTTTCTGTCTTACTTCATTCCGTAATTTTCCCATTTTTTCGGCCATTCTATTAGTGAGAACCATTACCTCTAAAAAGTTTTCAATCTTTTATAAACACATTTCCATAAATATATGTGTAAACTTAAAAATATTTTTTAATATCTTTTTAGATTCAAACCTATTTCTGATACATTTAAATCAATGTTTTCAAGACCCCAAGAAAATAGTGCATCATTTAATAATTTATTACGAAGATTAATTTTTTTCTCTTGATCTTTCATTTGTTGTCTTAAAGAACCATTGGATACTCTTTCATTAGCTAAGTTATTTGATATACTAGATTCTTTTCCAGCAATATTGTTTAATTTCTTCTCAAGCTAAATTTTACAGAAAAAGTTAAGTACTCAATATTTTCAATATCATTTATTTAACATTAAATTAGTAATACCTCTTCTATTTTATCAGTTTGTCGTATTAATTTTTCATCGTATGATTCCATCTCTTTTAATAATTCTTCTATGGTTCCTTCAAACACATATTGTAAATCTTCTTCTAATTTATCCAATTGCTGTCTGAACATGTCATATTCTGTTTTTTTTCTTTCTGAAAATATCAAATAAAAAATCACGGAAATATCATAAAAATGTTAATCACGAAAAAATTATTATTAATATTCATCAAAACGTTACTTTGTTCATTTTGTAGATCTTTATAATCAGCATCTAATTTTTCAAATTTTTTTATTTTTTGCAACACAGGTTCTAATTCTTTATTAAGTTCCTCGATTTTGGATTTGGAACGTTCCAATCGATTTTTATTATCTTCAAGTTTTGTTTCTTTATCTATTACATCATTAACAATAAGTTGACAATTCTGTTTTTGCTCTTTCAATATATGCATAGTTTGATTCATATCTTTAATTTGTTTCATGATGCTTTCAAGAGCTTTATTGAATCTTGCACTATCAAAAATCTCATCAAATTTTTCCTTTAATTTTTTACCATCGTGGAAAGGCCAATTAAGATCTTCTTGATGACAGAATATCACATAATCCAAAATGGGTTTTGAAACTCCCATAGCTAACGTAAGTTCTGCATCAACATTAGCACATCGATTAGTTAATGATACTATCTATATAAATAAAGAAATTGTTAAAAACTCTGAAATTTGTATGTAGATATATATTGTATTTAACACATTCTAATTCTATCAATGTAATTTATATTTATAATGAACATACCTCTTTTGTACCTTTCATCACTCTACTTAAAGCACTATCAAGAGTTTTAAATTTCGTTGTTATGTTTGCTTTTGTTGATTCTATAGTTCTAGATATTATATATAGATTACCTACTGCATCAATTATTTCAGCTTTTACAACACCTCGAACCTATTACAAAAAAAAGGATTAATTGGAATAAGGAAAGCAGTACTTTTTAAAAAGAATTACTTATGAAAATATTTTTTGACTCGTCGGCTTTTAACTATTAACTAATATTTATTTAGAATATAGTAGAACTGAAGTTGTAATGTAGAAAAATAATTATAATGTAATATATAATGAATATCATATTACGTACCGATGAAGTCGCCGATAGAACTGGATCGTGAATGAAAGATTTCCCTCGTTCTGAACCAGGTGGAAATTCACCGCAAGTAGCAAATTTGAGGGCCTCGATAATTGTCGTTTTTCCAGTGCCATTTGGTCCAAGGATAAGTGTCAAAGGCCGAGAAAAACGTATCATAGCTTCATCGTTTGTATCGCCAAAATTGCGAATGCCACGAATAGAAAGCCTTCTTATTCGTGACATCGTTGAAAATATACGAATTTAGCTTGATTATTAGCAGAATTATTTAATAAATTAAACTGAAACAATAAATCAAACGGTCTCCTTTTATCCTGTGAATAATGAAACTGACTCCGACTTCGAATTCGCGCGTATTATTACTACAGTACATATTGCATAGTTTGTTAACATGAAATAAAATAATTAAGATAAGAAAGTTTTAGAAAAAATCTAAAATCTAAAGAAAAATTTTTAAATCTATACAGAAGTTCGTTATCTTTTAAATTTCAAAATAAATACAGTATATATATGTATGTATTATATATATATGTATGTATTATATATATATATATAATAAATTTAATAGAATATTGCAACTATTGAAACAATAATTAATTAAAATAAATTTAAAGTTTTAAAAATTATGAATAAATATAAATTTCACGTAGAAATTTTCTGTAAATCTACGGAAACAATATAGTCATTATAGTTAAACTGCATGCTGCATGTCATATATATAAGTACATCAGGATGTAAATAGATTGTAGATTAATTATTAAAAAATCTTAAAGTTTAAAAATATAACAAAAGTAGAATTATTTGGTTTAAGAATTATTTGAGGAGAAATTAAAATTAAAATGATGCAATAAATTTGGCAATCTTACTTGCTTATATGTACTCAAGATTGAAAAGGTGTACCGTGGGTTAGGTTTTACAAAAACATAACGATGTACTTAATTTTTAGCTATGCAGTACATAACGTAACATCAATTTTGTGTTCATTAAAAAACGTAAATAAAACATTTCCTTTAACTTTTAGTCCAAAAATATACAATAAACATTACAATTATTTTAATCAATTACGTACAATATCGCAAAATAATGCATGGAAGGTTTTATTTTTTGGTACAGATGAATTTGCTGTCGAAAGTTTAAAAGTCTTGTATAATAAATAGTAAGAACAATACTGTTATTTTTATATTATAAATTCTTTATCTATCTTGAATAAATTTAAAAACACATATATATATATTTTTATATACAGTAAATTTAAAGAACTGCAGCGACTAGAAATTGTTACTGTTAATCAAAAAAGAGATAATCCTGTTACAAAATATGCAAAACAAAATAAAATTATTGTAAATAAATGGCCAATTGAAGTTAATAAATCAGAGTTTCATATTGGAGTAGTTGTTTCATTTGGTCACTTAATTCCATCCAAAATCATAAATGCATTTCCATTGTAAGTTATCTTCTTTAAATGTAAAATTTTAGATTTATTTATACACTGTTTTATGTATTAGTATATATTTATTATTCTTTTTTATAGAGGTATGATAAATGTACATGGTAGTTTATTACCCAGATGGAGAGGAGCAGCTCCAATAATTCATACATTAATAAATGGAGATTCACAAACTGGAGTCACAATAATGAAAATAATGCCAAAAAAGTAAATTTTTATTCAATTCTAAATATTTAAAAATTGTATTATATAGAATATAAAAGAATAATAAAATGGAAATTAATATTTTATTAATATATTTAATATTATTATGAATTAAATATTATTCCAGATTTGATGTAGGAGAAATAATATTGCAAAAGCAAATAGATATTGATGAACATGAAATTATGCCAGATTTATATGCAAAATTAGCAAAACTTGGTGCAAATCTTTTAGAAGAATTATTTGAAAATTTATTAGAATTATTGCAATCTGCAAGACCTCAAAATGAAGAAAATATAACATATGGTAAATTTATAAAGTGAATAGTTGTTTTCTTTGAAAGTATTGCAGATATTAACTTGTTATTTTTTAAGTCAGATTAAATGGAATAAATGTCTAATGTAATAATGAATTATGTTTTTAAAAAGAAAAGCAAATCTTTATGTATTTGCAATAATTTCAAAGAATAGTTTTTGATATTCTACATATATGATCCACATCATATATTTTGTTATTAATAAATTATTCAATTATAATGATGTATATATTATATATTATAAATTATTAATCATTAATCAAAATTTACTTTCAGCACCAAAAGTAACATCAAATATATCTTTAATCAATTGGAATGAAATGTCTGCAACAAATGTTTATAACTTGCATCGTGCTCTTTTCGGTTTATATGCCTTAACTACTTTATATCAAAATGTAAAAGTAAAATTATTTGATATTCAGAAAATTAAAGCAGAATCAATAGCAACACAACTTGAAGGAGAAAAACCAGGTAAATTTATTATTTTGTACATACTATTTGATATAAAGATATAATGTCAAAATATTTGCAATAAAATATTTATAGTATTAAATTATATATATATATATATATATATATAAATATATATTTATCAATATTTTGTGTTTATAGGAATTGTGATATATAATAAAAAGAATAAAGTATTGATTATAAAATGTAAAGAAAACACTTTTGTTTCTGCAAAGAAAATAACTATACAGGGTAAACGCACCATGAGTGCTCTTGATTTTTATAATGGTTTTATGTCTGGAAAAAATAAGACAAAAATATTGTTTACTTCAATATAATTTTTGAAATTGATATTAATTTATTTTTAATGTAAATATAATGTAAATTATTTGTAACATAAAAAGTTATACAACTGCATACACTATTGCAAAACAAATTTGTTTTAAAATTTTTTATAGAACGTATATTAATAGTTGCTAAATTAAATTGTACATGAATTATAAATACCAAAAAAGACTCTGAAATTGTATATTTTAATTGTTTCTTACCTTTTTTAAATACATATGTAGAATTCTTGATGAATATTATGTATACGCACACACGTACACACGTACATATGTACGTATATACATATATACATATGTAAAAATAAAAATAGAAAATATCCACATATATATTTGGAAATAAAAATATAAAATTGGACAGAATAATCCATTGAAAATAAATACTGAAAAGTTCATTGAACATATATAGGAATTTTAATATATATTTAAAAGTGAAATTTGCAATATGTATTTTCAAGAGATTTTTATAATTAGAGGAAAAATTTTATCTATACTCTGTATATTTTACAAAAAACAATGACATTCAATGTCTTAATTTATTTGAACGTAGAATTAGAGCTGCAGACATAAAATTGTTGATATTAAGTCTCAGATTCAGAGGCCTGAAATGAAAGAAATATTTTTACTATTACAGGTTCTTTCTTTTATTGAATAAAATTAGCTTCAAGATATATTCCTAGTGACAATTTTAGGTCAAAGATAAAAGTATCCATAAATAAGTTTTAGCCTAATTTGTTGCTTTGGCTGCTTCGAAATTATACGAAGTGTAGGTGTTGAATGAATTATCCATCTTTTATGAAGAATTGTTCCCATTTTCTTAGAAAAGTGAGATTTTAAGTTTTTTTTCGTATTAATAACTAATTGCCATTCGATATTTCGTAAATGGAACGTTGTATTTGATTATTCAATAAATAAAGATGGCACAGCTTTTACTGAAAATAATTAGTTAATGTTAGCAACTAGTTATTAATAAGACTGTTTGTTCTATTTATTTTAAAATTATTGAAAGAGTTAATGATTTACATACACTTAACATTAAAGTACTTTATATTTTGTCACATATTCATACTATCGAGATATTCTAGAAATAAGGTTCATCAACTCCAAATGTATTTTGGTTTGTTTTTTTTTTTAAATATCGACCAAATAAAAAGTACCTTAACAATATATTTTGGGTTAATATTGCAATAAATGCAAACAATAAAACTTGATTAACTTACACTAGGATCGCAGTCTGCACAATGCCATGAATAGCCTCTTCTTTTGGGTGATTTTTTAACTGGTGGATCAAGACAGGTGAAGTGGTAGCATTTTTTACATTCATCACACCTGAGATGTGAAAAAGAATAAAATCATATATTCAGAATTTATATAAGAAGTAAATATTTGATATATTTATATAAACTAACATGACGAGATTTTGGCTGGTACCAGGCATGTCACAAACATTACAATGTGTCAAAAGGTCTGTATCTTTTCCCCTTTTTCCATTTCCTGTAGATGTTCTACTACTTGTATTATTTGTGGACACATTCGCTGCTACAGGTGTAGCATTTGAAGACAAGGGTGGAACAGGTGGAGGTGGTGGTAGTTTAGGTAATGGTGGTGACGTAATTTCGGTACTAGTAGATGTGGCAACAAACATTTGAGGACTTGATTCTGATGCTACATCTCCTTCTGGTCTTGGAATTGGCTTTATCTAGTTAATAAAATAATTATAAGGTATGTATATGCATATATACGCGCATAGCGCACAGCGATATAATGAATAGTAATATACCTTTATTGTGATTCTTCTATGAATTTCTGGTTGACTTTGTCCTTCAGGATTTTCCACATCAAGACTTTTCCTCTTATGTTTACGTTTCCTTTGTTTTATACCCGTAATTGGATCAGGAGTATATCTTTTATGTTTTTCCCTAATAAAATTTAAAAAAATATTACATTTCATATTTGTATGAAAATATATACCTTCTTATATACCTTCTCCTTTTTTTCGCGCTTCTCTGTGAAACAGATTCTGTTCCATCTGCTGGAGCTACCATATATTCAGGTGAACCTTCCCTCGTTATTGTCAGATTATTAATAGGTTGTTGATTATATACTGACTCGTTTGATTGAATGGGAGTAGAAGACGGAGGCTGTGGTCCAACTGGTTTTATAGTTACCTATATATAAATATATATACATGTATGTAAGATATTTAGACAATAGAAAAAATAAAAATATAAAATAAACATTTTTTTGAAAACACATTTAACAATATTTACTTTTGGTGTTGTAGGTGTATCAGGTGTAGTTGCACTATTTGTTACACTATTAAGATTAGCGGAAGAATTTTTTGATGTACTAGGCGTCGTTGGCGTTGTAGGTATTTGTACTTCTTGTGGTGGCGTTGGTGTTGAAGTTAAATTCGAGTCATCTTTACAGTGTCTTAATTTACGTGGGGCTGAAGTATCAACACGTTCAACTTCTGACCCAGAAGATTCTTTATCGCATTCAGAACATTGCCTACATTGAAAGATATTGTATATATTATATTTATACAATAAATATATTAGATAAATAAGAAATAAATATATAATAGATACATACCAACCCATAAGTTTTGTTTTCTTAGGCATACGTGATAAAGGTGGACTAAGACAAGATAAATGGTAATGAAGATGACATGTGTCACATTTTGCAAGTAGGTGTTGATTTGTGGATCTTCTACATATTCCACATTGATGCCTTAATGTCAATTCGCCTTTGTGATTTTGATCTTGTGCTTGACTGCTTAACACTCTACCTTCACGTACTCCTTCTGTTCCTTTACCAACAGGTAAAGGAAAACCAACACCCATTTTCAAAGCAGCTGCAGTAGGTACACCTAAACCTGTACCTGCATTGAAAAATCATGATATATTTGTCCCTTTTTATATATTTGTGGTCTAACTTACCTAATGTTGGCGCTATTCTTGGTTTTGCTAAATCAGTTATTTGTGGAAGAGGTTTCATGTAACCACTACTCTGAAGCACTTGGTGATACATTTCTATTTTTTCTTTTAACGTTACATTTACTCGAATTTGTTCTTCATTATCTTTCATTACTTCATCATATCTTCTATCTAATCTCTGTTGCTCATTAAGCAATTGAGAATTAATATCGAGAAGTTCTTGTAGTCGTCTTTTCATAGATGTGACTCGCAAATTGCGATCCAAATAATAACCAATGAATTCTACACTAAAAGCAGGCGGAATATGCCATTTCTTTCTAACATCGACTAAAGCTACAAGTTGTGCTTCTTGAGCTTCCAATGCAGCAGTATCAACACCCATGAGTTCAGCTTTTCTCGCTAGTTGCCGACAAGCCGAAGCTGAAGTGGTTAATAACCGAGGCATTTTTTGTGTTGGAACTAAAAATAATTCATAAATATTTTATGTAATATTTTATATTTCATTACCATATGTAGTTAATTGACGTACCCCATGGTGGTGGCCTAGATGCTTTATGAGCTAAATATTTATGTCTATGTTTTGCTAATTTTCTTTGTATTCTACGCTGTTCTTCAGTATCTAAATGATTGGGTTGTTTTAATAATTGTTGTCGGTATTGAGCTCGTAATTGTAAAGCTAACCAATTACGTCTACGTCTGCGAACAAGTGTTTTATCAGAATGAAGTTTACAATGTGCATAAAAGGGATCGGCTTGATCAACTTCTTCACTATGAGCTTCAGATAATAGCCCCTCTCTTTGTGCACTACAAAAAACATAAAGCATTATATCTTTTAACAAAAATTTATATTTTGTTTTCATTTATATCAAGTAGTTTACTTATACGAGTTTAATTCTTACCAAGTGACATGAAAATATGTATGACACATTCCTGCATCACATTCTATGCATACACCAGTTCGAGCAAAACGTGCATCTTCACATAAAGAACATTGTTTTGCTCCCCATTTACTATAAGCCATCTCAAAGAGTGTTACACTTGATAAACGATCAACCTAAAAATAAACATACACACATATACATGTATATTTAAAGATATTTTTAACTTGTATTTAATGAAAATTAAAGTTTTGCATACTTCTCCAAAAGCAACACCAGGTACATAAAGTGCACATACTAAATGTACCCATTTGCCTACATCAGTCTCTTTAAAAATTCCACCTTTATTAGGACAAAGCTCACATGAAGGATCTTCAATACCTGCACTGCAAGCTTCACAAAACCATGGTGCTGATTGACACAAGGAATCAGTACTTGAAAAACTTTCTACATCAGACACACCATAACAACCTTAAATAAATTTAATTTAAAAATGATTTACATCTAACGCATATTTATAATTATAAATTAAATTTAAATTATAAAGTTATAAATAAATTGAAAAGTTCAAAATTTTTACCTTCGTGCACGCTAACCCCACATCCATCACATTCAACAATTTCATTAACATCATCGCTTCTATCTCCTAAGCAACCACAACAGATTAACATTTTATTTAATTTATCTTCAATTGAACCACCTTTTAATGCTTGTTGTCTAGCTTGTTCAATTATATCTCCTACAGTTAAACTAGGATTTTCCTTCTTATTTAGTAATGGGTCTTCCAAAGAATCATCTGACTGCCCTGATACATCCTCCTCTTTCATAGAAATAAACAACTTCATATTAGTTAATTTTAGAACATATATTGACAATTTTATATTTAAAGATTATTGTACTGATGACTACGACAGTGGCCCAGGTGATCTCTTTGTTTCGAGACATTTAAGATTTTACAGTTACATGAGCACAAAAATATAGAGCAAACCTATCTGATGGTTGAATCTAATTGTAATTCTACACATTTCAAAATATAGAGAGTAAATCCATTTTTTTACATTTTTAACTTAGACCACTTTCATAATTACCAACATAATGCCAATGATTATTTAAAGTGGCCTAAATCATATTCTTTGTTTCGAGATATTTAAAGTTTTGTATTTACATATATCACAAAACATAATGCCAACCCAATCTGACGGTTGAATTTTCTGTGATTTTTCTAAACTTCACAATATTATAATTTGAATGCATTCAATAAAAAATATGGAGAACAAATACATTTCTTCATATTTTTAACTTTGGCCACTTTCATAATTACAGGCAAAGTGCTGGTGATTATAAAAGTGGCCTAAATTATGTATTCTTTGTTCCAAGATATTTAAGGTTTTGGATTTATATGTACAAAGTAATACCAACCCAATCTGATGGTTGAATTTTTTGTGATTTTCCTAAACTTCACAATATTATAGTTTGAATGCATTCAACAAAAAATATGGAACAAATCCATTTTTTCATATTTTTAATTTGGGCCACTTTCATAATTACCGGCAAAGTACCGATGATTATGAAAGTGGCCTAAGTAATGTATTCTTTTTTTCCAAGATACTTAAGGTTTTACATTTACATGTATAAAAAAATATATTATCGATTTAATATTATGATTGAATTTTTCGCAATATTATAATTTGAGTGCACTCAACACAAAATATGGAATAAATCCATGTTTTTATATTTTTAACCTAGACCACTTTCATAATTACCAGCACAGTGCCTGTGATTATGAAAGTGGCCTAAATTATGTATTTTTTTATTTCAAGATACTTTAGGTTTTGCATTTATATGTACAACGAAATATAATGCCAACTTAATTTGATGATTAAATTTTCTATCTTTTCTATAATTTTTCTAAATTAACTTCACAATATTGTAATTTGAATACATTCAACACAAAATATGGAATAAATCCATTTTTTAATATTTTTTATTTAGACCACTTTCATAATTACTGGCACAATATATTTTACCTTTTCCAATATCATTAGAATCAACTGAATCATCATCAGATTCTTCACAATGATCCTCAATTCTAAAATCACTGTCATCAGAGCTTTCACCTAAATCAAAATCAAGTAAAGATTGTGCTGATCCTACAGGTTTAACCCTCCTCTTTTTGGGATCCCTTTCAACTAAAAAGAATTATCTTATATAATTATTTATTATTTATTTCTTAAAAGTTTAATGAAAAGGAATAAAGTACAACAATAAAAATTTTTCTATCAACAACATACTTAATCCAAGGGATATGCACTCCCAAAAAGGTACAAAAAATTAATTTTAGGTTATGTATGTACTTAATTCACGATAAATACGTACAAATGCTAGTCATATTAATCTTAAAGCAACACTTTTGCTTAATTTCTGTGGCAATATTTTATATTTTCTTTCACATGAACGAATTTTATTTTTCTTTTAGAGATTTTGATACATTTCTATACCGCTACACAATTTTTAAATGTCTCCCACTATGCATCGAACTTATCAATTCGTCATTGTAAAATACTAATGTATGCGTAATGCACGACGCCGGTTTTGTGTATTATAAAAACGTTCTTCTATTCTTTTATATATTCTTTTATTGTGTTTTAAATAAACTATTATTACAAGTATTAATTATTTTTTGAATTGAAAATGTAATAAAGATTCTTACATTATTATAATACTTTGAAGAAAAGATATTCATTAATATTCATTAAATCCAGAATTTATAAAATTATAAAATTTGTTATTTAAATTTTACTTTACATATCAATTAAACTAGATTTTTATTATACATATTTATTTTAATTATACGTATATGTTTAAATGGTTAGTTATACATAAAATAAAAATGTACACAAATTTTATACAATATTATATTATTAATTGATTTTGTTTATATTCTATATTCGTATTCATATTCTATTTATATTCATATTATAAGAGAGAGACAGAGAGAGAGAGAGAGAGAGAGAGAGAGAGAGAGAAAGAGAAAAGAGAATTACAATTAAATTATTTAAAAATTAAAAAAAAAAATTAAGACATTTAAATTAATATTTCAGTAATATACATTATAAAAAAAAAACACTTATTTGTTTTTGTTTATTACATTAAATATTTTAACAAATAAGTTCCTCAACTTACTCATTGTTTTATATAAAAATCCTACATCGTCGTCCTGAGACATTCTTGGCACAAGTTTTTTTCACCTTAGTAATATGTATAAAACTTAATAACTTCTTTAAATATATTACTATTAATATATAAAAATTAAAAGTTTGTGATATACATAATAATTCTGTCTCATTGTAATATGCATATTAATTCATATTTATATTTCAGAAGTCTCTTAATGAATTATTTAACTATTATACAAAGGTGCAAAGAAACTTCCTTCGATAATGTTATCCTTCTGACGCTGTGTTTCTACTCGTATCAGAAACCAATCGCCATATTGAATCCCAAAATCCTTCAGCGGGAAGTACAATTAATTTATATTTAACTAATTATTTATTTGCAACATACATCATTAAATATATTATTACATCATTAAATATATTGAGCGTTGAAATCAAATTTTATTTATTATTTCATTTCAAATTTTCTTTAATTAATTATATACACAAATATAATATATGTGTAATATTTTTAAAATTTTTATAAAATTTATAATACATGTATAATATATGTAATAATATTTTTATTAACATAATTAAAAAAATAAAATTTTTAAATAGAAATA